AAGGCTAGAGGAACACCAACTTCAGCACAGCAACTCGAGGAATGCTCCGTGTACACCAAATCGTCTCGAGATGAGAGCTGATTCCCTGGCTTAGGCTCAATATGTATGCCCACTTTCCAGAACCACCTCAAGAGGAGGCTTCTCTCAGCAATAGGTATGTGGGAGGTACCCCTAGATCGCTGCCTAAATTGGAATATACAGCGAGAAGCCCTAACTTGAAAGGAGGCTGGATTTCCTTGCAGTGGCTTGAATACAGTCTCGTCTTTGATCTCAAAACATGAAGGGATGTCTGAATCCCCTGTGGAGACCTTAGAGAAAGCCCTTGGTCCCTGCCTCATTTTGACGGAATGCCTCACATCCCGTTGGTACCTCGAGAGGCACTCGGAGTTCATTGCTTCAAAAGGTGACAATGCCTGACTCCTCTTGAATACTGATAGGAATCCCAAAATCCCTGGGGCTACTGGAACGGGCCTTAGGTGCCCTGCCGAACCTCGAGAAGTGTCCCTTTTGCCCTGCCAAGCCTCAAAGAGATTCCTGAGGTGTCCCTCATTACTAGACAGGAGTCCTGACATCACTGAAGAAACTCGTGTTTTGGAGGGCCATCCCCGCCGTAAGTCGAGAACATACCCCAGGAACCTGCCGCAACTCGGGAAAAACCATGAGACTTCCCCCTAGAGGCGAGATGAGGCCCCATTCCCCTGCAGTGCATGCAGAGCTACTCCGTGATCCCATTCAAACCAGTCAGGAACTTCGACTTGCTTAATGGATCTCGAGACAGTCCCCAAGAACACTGTCACAGGTCCAGACGGACCCTGAGGTCACCCCAGCAACGCAAAGCAGCTCCATGTGCCCCAAATCAACTCGAGATGAGGCCCGATTCCCCTGCATTGACTCCAGAGCCATTCCCCGTTCCCCATTCAACACGACCGGTGGCTCGACTTCCTTCAGGCAACTCCAGAGATGCCCCGAGAACACTGTCCCAAGTCTAGAGGAACACCAACTTCAGCACAGCAACTCGAGTAATGCTCCGTGTACACCAAATCGTCTCGAGATGAGAGCTGATTGCCTGGCTTAGGCTCAAGACTTATGCCAACTTTCCAGAAGCACCTCAGGAGGAGGTTTCTCTCAGCAATAGGTATGTGGGGGGACCCCGAATTTGCTGCCTCAAGGGGAATATACAGCGAGAAGCCCTAACGTGAAAGGAGGCCGGATTTCCTTGCAGTGGCTTGAATACAGGCTCGTCTTTCATCTCACAACAAGAAGGGTTGTCTGAATCCCCTGTGGAGACCTTAGAGAAAGCCCTAGGTCCCTGCCTCATTTTGATGGAATGCCTCACATCCTGCTGACACCTCGAGAGACACGCGGAGTTCATTGCTTCAAAAGGTGACGAAGCCTGACGCCTCTGGAATACTGAGAGGAATCCCAAAATCCCTGTGGCTACTGGAAAGGGTCCTTGGGTGCCCTGCCTCACCTCGAGAAGCTTCCCTTTTGCCCTGCCAAGCCTCGAAGAGATTCCTGAGGTGTTCCTCGTTACTAGACAGGAGTCCTGACGTCAGTGAAGAAACTCATGTTTTGAAGGGCCATCCCAGCTGTAAGTCGTGAACATACCCCTGGTCCCCGCCGCAACTCGAGAAAAACCATGAGACTTCCCCCTACAAGCGAGATGAGGCCCCATTCCCCTGCAGTGCGTGCAGAGCTATTCCGTGATCCCATTCAAACAAGTCAGGAGCTTCGACTTGCTTAATGGATCTCGAGACAGTCGACAAGAACACTGTCACCAGTCTAGACGGACCCTGAGGTCACCCCAGCAACGCAAAGCAGCTCCATGTGCCCCAAATCAACTCGAGATGAGGCCCGATTCCCCTGCATTGACTCCAGAGCCATTCCTTGTTCCCCATTCAACAAGACCGGTGGCTCGACTTCCTTCAGGCAACTCCAGAGATGCCCCTAGAACACTGTCCCAAGTCTAGAGGAACACCAACTTCAGCACAGCAACTCGAGGAATGCTCCGTGTACACCAAATCGTCTCGAGATGAGAGCTGATTCCCACGCTTAGGATCAATACGTATGCCAACTTTCCAGAAGCACCTCAAGAGGAGGCTTCTCTCAGCAAAAGGTATGTGGGAGGGACCCCGAGTTTGCTGCCTCAAGTGGAATATACAGCGAGAAGCCCTAACTTGAAAGGAGGCCAGATTTCCTTTCAGTGGCTTGAACACAGGATCGTCTTTGATCTCACAACATGGAGGGATGTCTGAATCCCCTGTGGAGACCTCAGAGAAAGCCCTAGGTTCCTGCCTTATTTTGACGGAATGCCTCACATGCCGCTGACACCTCGAGAAACACGCGGAGTTCATTGCTTCAAAAGTTGACGATGCCTGACTCCTCTTTAATACTGATAGGAATCCCCAAATCCCTGTGGCTACTGGAAAGGGTCCTTGGGTGCCCGTCCTCACCTCGAAAAGCGTCCCTTTTGCCCTGCCAAGCCTCGAAGAGATTCCTGAGGTGTCCCTCATTACTAGACAGGAGTCCTGACGTCACTGAAGAAACTCGTGTTTTGAAGGGCCATCCCCGCCGTAAGTCGAGAACATACCTCAGGTCCCGGCCGCAACTCGAGAAAAATCATGAGACTTCCCCCTAGAGGCGAGATGAGGCCCCATTCCCCTGCAGTGCATGCAGAGCTATTCCATGATCCCATTCAAACAAGTCAGGAGCTTCGACTTGCTTAATGGATCTCGAGACAGTCGACAAGAACACTGTCACCAGTCTAGACGGACCCTGAGGTCACCCCAGCAACGCAAAGCAGCTCCATGTGCCCCAAATCAACTTGAGATGAGGCCCGATTCCCCTGCATTGACTCCAGAGCCATTCCTTGTTCCCCATTCAACAAGACCGGTGGCTCGACTTCCTTCAGGCAACTCCAGAGATGCCCCTAGAACACTGTCCCAAGTCTAGAGGAACACCAACTTCAGCACAGCAACTCGAGGAATGCTCCGTGTACACCAAATCGTCTCGAGATGAAAGCTGATTCCCAGGCTTAGGATCAATACGTATGCCAACTTTCCAGAAGCACCTCAAGAGGAGGCTTCTCTCAGCAAAAGGTATGTGGGAGGGACCCCGAGTTTGCTGCCTCAAGTGGAATATACAGCAAGAAGCCCTAACTTGAAAGGAGGCTGGATTTCCTTGCAGTGGCTTGAATATAGGCTCGTCTTTGACCTCACAACATGTTGGGATGTCTGAATCCCCTGTGGAGACCTTAGAGAAAGCCCTAGGTCCCTGCCTCATTTTGACGGAATTCCTCACATCCCGCTGACACCTCGAGAGGCACGCGGAGTTCATTGCTTCAAAAGGTGACGAGGCCTGACTCCTCTTGAATACTGATAGGAATCCCAAAATCCCTGTGGCTACTGGAAAGGGTCCTTGGGTGCCGTTCCTCACCTCTAGAAGCATCCCTTTTGCCCTGCCAAGCCTCAAAGAGATAACTGAGGTGTCCCTCGTCACTAGACAGGAGTCCTGACGTCACTGAAGTAACTCGTGTTTTGAAGGGCCATCCCCGACGTAAGTCGAGAACATACCCCAGGTACGCGCCGCAACTCGAGAAAAACCATGAGACTTCCCCTAGAGGCGAGATGAGGCCCCATTCCCCTGCAGTGCATGCAGAGCTATTCCGTGATCCCATTCAAAGAAGTCAGGAGCTTCGACTTGCTTAATGGATCTCGAGACAGTCCCCATGAACACTGTCACCAGTCTAGACGGACCCTGAGGTCACCCCAGCAACGCAAAGCAGCTCCATGTGCCCCAAATCAACTCGAGATGAGGCCCGATTCCCCTGCATTGACTCCAGAGCCATTCCCCGTTCCCCATTCAACACGACCGGTGGCTCGACTTCCTTTAGGCAACTCCAGAGATGCCCCGAGAACACTGTCCCAAGGCTAGAGGAACACCAACTTCAGCACATCAACTCGAGGAATGCTCCGTGTACACCAAATCGTCTCGAGATGAGAGCTGATTCCCTGGCTTAGGCTCAATACGTATGCCAACTTTCCAGAACCACCTCAAGAGGAGGCTTCTCTCAGCAATAGGTATGTGGGAGGGACCCTGAGTTTGCTGCCTCAAGAGGAATATACAGCGAGAAGCCTTAACTTGAAAGGAGGCCAGATTTCCTTGCAGTGGCTTGAATACAGGCTCGTCTTTGATCTCAAAATATGGAGGCATGTCTGAATCCCCTGTGGAGACCTTAGAGAAAGACCTAGGTCCCTGCCTCATTTTGACGGAATGCCTCACATCCCACTGACACCTCGAGAGGCATTCGGAGTTCATTGCTTTAAAAGGTGACGATGCCTGACTCCACTTGAATACTGATAGGAATCCCAAAATCCCTGTGGCTACTGGAAAGGGTCCTTGGGTGCCCTTCCTCACCTCGAGAAGCATTCCTTTTGCCCTGCCAAGCCTCGAAGAGATTACTGAGGTGTCCCTCGTCACTAGACAGAAGTCCTGATGTCACTGAAGAAACTCGTGTTTTGAAGGGCCATCCCGCCGTAAGTCGAGAACATAGCCCAGTTCCCCGCCGCAACTCGAGAAAAACCATGAGACTTCCCCCTAGAGGCGAGATGAGGCCCCATTCCGCTGCAGTGCATGCAGAGCTATTCCGTGATCCCATTCAAACAAGTCAGGAGCTTCGACTTGCTTAATGGATCTCGAGACAGTCCCCAAGAACACTGTCACCAGTCTAGACGGACCCTGAGGTCACCCCAGAAACGCAAAGCAGCTCCATGTTCCCCAAATCAACTCGAGATGAGGCCCGATTCCCCTGCATTGACTCCAGAGCCATTCCCCGTTCCCCATTCAACACGACCGGTGGCTCGACTTCCTTCAGGCAACTCCAGAGATACCCCGAGAACACTGTCCCAAGTCTAGAGGAACACCAACTTCAGCACAGCAACTCGAGGAATGCTCCGTGTACCCCAAATCGTCTCGAGATGAGAGCTAATTCCCTTGCTTAGGCTCAAGACCTATGACAACTTTCCAGAAGCACCTCAGGAGGAGGCTTCTCTCAGCAATAGGTATGTGGGTGGGACCCCGAGATCGCTGCCTCAAGGAGAATATACAGCGAGAAGCCCTAACTTGAAAGGAGGCTGGATTTCCTTGCAGTGGCTTGAATACAGGCTCGTCTTTGATCTCAAAACATGAAGGGATGTGTAAATCCCCTGTGGAGACCTTAGAGAAAGCCCTAGGTCCCTGCCTCATTTTGACGGAATGCCTCACATCCCGCTGACACATCGAGAGGCACGCGCAGTTCATTGCTTCAAAAGGTGACGATGCCTGACTCCTCTTGAATACTGATAGGAATCCCAAAATCCCTGGGGCTACTGGAAAGGGTCCTTGGGTGCCCTGCCTCACCTCGAGAAGTGTCCCTTTTGCCCTGCCAAGCCTCGAATAGATTCCTGAGGTGTCCCTCATTACTAGACTGGAGTCCTGACATCACTGAAGAATCTCCTGTTTTGAAGGGCCATCCCCGCCGTAAGTCGTGAACATACCCCTGGTCCCCGCCGCAACTCGAGAAAAACCATGAGACTTCTCCCTAGAGGCGAGATGAGGCCCCATTCCCCTGCAGTGCATGCAGAGCTATTCCGTAATCCCATTCAAACAAGTCAGGAGCTTCGACTTGCTTAATGGATCTCGAGACAGTCGCCAAGAACACTGTCAACAGTCTAGACGGACCCTGAGGTCAACCCAGCAATGCAAAGCCGCTCCATGTGCCCCAAATCAACTCGAGATGAGGCCCGATTCCCCTGCATTGTCTCCAGAGCCATTCCTCGTTCCCCATTCAACACGAACGGTGGCTCAACTTCCTTCAGGCAACTCCAGAGATGCCCCGAAAACACTGTCCCAAGTCTAGAGGAACACCAACTTCAGCACAGCAACTCGAGGATTGCTCCGTGTACCCCAAATCGTCTCGAGATGAGACCTGATTCCCTGGCTTAGGCTCAAGACGTATGCCAACTTTCCAGAAGCACCTCAGGAGGAGGCTTCTCTCAGCAATAAGTATGTTGGAGGGACCTCGAGATCGCTGCCTCAAGGGGAATATACAGCGAGAAGCCCTAACTTGAAAGGAGACCGGATTTCCGTGCAGTGGCTTGAATACAGGCTGGTCTTTGATCTCAAAACATGAAAGGATGTCTGAATCCCCTGTGGAGTCCTTAGAGAAAGGCCTAGGTCCCTGACTCATTTTGACGGAATGCCTCACATCCCGTTGACACCTCGAGAGGCACGCGGAGTTCATTGCTTCAAAAGGTGACGATGCCTGACTCCTCTTGAATACTGATAGGAATCCCAAAATCCCTGTGGCTACTGGAAAGGGTCCTTGGGTGTCCTGCCTCACCTCGAGAAGCGTCCCTTTTGCCCTGCCTAGGCTGGAAGAGATTCCTGAGGTGTCCCTCGTTACTAGACAGGAGTCCTGACGTCACTGAAAAAACACGTGTTTTGAAGGGCCATCCCCGCCGTAAGTCGAGAACATACCCCAGGTCCCCGCCGCAACTCGAGAAAAACCATGAGACTTCCCCCTAGAGGCGAGATGAGGCCCCATTCCGCTGCAGTGCATGCAGAGCTATTCCGTGATCCCACTCATACAAGTCAGGAGCTTCGACTTGCTTAATGGATCTCGATTCAGTTCCCAAGAACACTGTCACGAGTCTAGACGGACCCTGAGGTCAACCCAGCAACTCAAAGCATCTCCATGTGCCCCAAATCAACTCGAGATGAGACCCGATTCCCCAGCACTGACTCCAGAGCCATTCCCCGTTCCCCATTCAACACGACCTGTGGCTCGACTTCCTTCAGGCAACTCCAGAGATGCCCCGAGAACACTGTCCCAAGTCTAGAGGAACACCAACTTCACCACAGCAACTCGAGGAATGCTCCGTGTACCCCAAATCGTCTGGAGATGAGAGCTGATTCCCTGGCTTAGGCTCAAGACGTATGCCAACGTTCCAGAAGCACCTCATTAGGAGGCTTCTCTCAGCAGTAGGTATGTGGGAGGGACCCCGAGATCGCTGCCTCAAGGTGAATATACAGCGAGAAGCCCTAACTTGAAAGGAGGCCGGATTTCCTTGCAGTGGCTTGAATACAGGCTCGTCTTTGATCTCAAAACATGAAGGGATGTCTGAATCCCCTGTGGAGAACATAGAGAAAGACCTAGGTCCCTGCCTCATTTTGACGGAATGCCTCATATCCCGTTGGTACCTCGAGAGGCATGCGGAGTTCATTGCTTCAAAAGGTGACGATGCCTGACTCCTCTTGAATACTGATAGGAATCCCAAAATCCCTGTGGCTACTGGAAAGGGTCCTTGGGTGCCCTGCCTCACCTCGAGAAGCGTCCCTTTTGCCCTGCCAAACCTCGAAGAGATTCCTGAGGTGTCCCTCGTTACTAGAAAGGAGTCCTGACGTCACTGAATAAACTCGTGTTTGGAAGGGCCATCCCCGCCATAAGTCGAGAACATACCCCAGGTCCCCGCCGCAACTCGAGAAAAACCATGAGACTTCCCCCTAGAGGCGAGAAGAGGCCTCATTCCCCTGCAGTGCATGCAGAGCTATTCCGTGATCCCATTCAAACAAGTCAGGAGCTTCGATTTGCTTAATGGATCTCGAGACAGTCCCCAAGAACACTGTCACCAGTCTAGACGGACCCTGAGGTCACCCCAGCAACGCAAAGCAGCTCCATGTGCCCCAAATCAACTCGAGATGAGGCCCGATTCCCCTGCATTGACTCCAGAGCCATTCCCCGTTCCCCATTCAACATGACCGGTGGCTCGACTTCCTTCAGGCAACTCCAGAGATGCCCCGAGAACACTGTCCCAAGTCTAGAGGAACACCAACTTCAGCACAGCAACTCGAGGAATGCTCCGTGTACCCGAAATCGTCTCGAGATGAGAGCTGATTCCCTGGCTTAGGCTCAAGATGTATGCCAACATTCCAGAAGCACCTCAAGAGGATTCTTCTCTCAGCAATAGTTATGTGGGAAGGACCCCGAGTTTGCTGCCTCAAGCGGAATATACAGCAAGAAGACCTAACTTGAAAGAAGGTCGGATTTCCTTGCAGTGGCTTGAATACAGAGTCGTCTTTGATCTCATAACATGAAGGGATGTCTGAATCCCCTGTGGAGACCTCAGAGAAAGCCCTAGGTCCCTGCCTCATTTTGACGGAATGCCTCACATCCCGTTGACACCTCGAGAGTCACGTGGAGTTCATTGCTTCAAAAGGTGAGGAGGCCTGACTCCTCTTGAATACTGATAGGATTCCAAAAATCCCTGTGGCTACTGGAAAGGGTTCTTGCATGCCCTGCCTCACCTCGAGAAGTGTCCCTTTTGCCCTGCCAAGCCTCGAAGAGATTCCTGAGATGTCCCTCGTTACTAGACAGGAGTCCTGACGTCACTGAAGAAACTCGTGTTTGAAGGGCCATCCCCGCCGTAAGTCGAGGACATACCCCAGGTCCCCGCCGCAACTCGAGAAAAACCGTGAGACTTCCCCCTAGAGGCGAGATGAGGCCCCATTCCCCTGCAGTGCATGCAGAGCTATTCCGTGATCCCATTCAAACAAGTCAGGAGCTTCGACTTGCTTAATGGATCTCGAGACAGTCCCCAAGAACACTGTCACCAGTCTAGACGGACCCTGAGGTCACCCCAGCAAGGCAAAGCAGCTCCATGTGCCCCAAATCAACTCGAGATGAGGCCCGATTCCCCTGCATTCACTCCAGAGCCATTCCCCATTCCCATTCAACATGACCGGTGGCTCGACTTCCTTCAGGCAACTCCAGAGATGCCCCGAGAACACTGTCCCAAGTCTAGAGGAACACCAACTTCAGCACAGCAACTCGAGGAATGCTCCGTATACCCCAAATCGTCTCGAGATGAGAGCTGATTCCCTGGTTTTGGCTCAAGACATATGCCAACGTTCCAGAAGCACCTCAGGAGGAGGCTTCTCTCAGCAATAGGTTTGTGGGAGGGACCCCGAGATCGCTGCCCAAGTGGAATATACAGCGAGAAGCCCTAACTTGAAAGGAGGCCGTATTTCCTTGCAGTGGCTTGAATACAGGCTCGTCTTTCATCTCACAACATGAAGGGATGTCTGAATCCCCTGTGGAGACCATAGAGAAAGCCCTAGGTCCCTGCCTCATTTTGACGGAATGCCTCACATCCCGCTGACACCTCGAGAGGCACTCGGAGTTCATTGCTTCAAAAGGTGACGATGCCTGACTCCTCTTGAATACTGATAGGAATCCCAAAATCCCTGTGGCTACTGGAAAGGGTCCTTGGGTGTCCTGCCTCACCTCGAGAAGCGTCCCTTTTGCCCTGCCAAGCCTCGAAGAGATTCCTGAGGTGTCCCTCGTTACTAGACAGGAGTCCTGACGTCACTGAATAAAGACGTGTTTTGAAGGGCCATCCCCGCTGTAAGTCGAGAACATACCCCAGGTCCCCGCCGCAACTCGAGAAAAACCATGAGACTTCCCCCTAGAGGCGAGATGAGGCCCCATTCCCCTGCAGTGCATGTAGAGCTATTCCGTGATCCCATTCAAACAAGTCAGGAGCCTCGACTTGCTTAATGGATCTCGAGACAGTCCCCAAGAACACTGTCACGAGTCTAGACGGACCCTGAGGTCACCCCAGCAACGCAAAGCAGCTCCATGTGCCCCAAATCAACTCGAGATGAGGCCCGATTCCCCTGCATTGACTCCAGAGCCATTCCCCGTTCCCCATTCAACATGATCGGTAGCTCGACTTCCTTCAGGCAACTCCAGAGATGCCCCGAGAACACTGTCCCAAGTCTAGAGGAACACCAACTTCAGCACAGAAACTCGAGGAATGCTCCGTGTACCCCAAATCGTCTCGAGATGAGAGCTGATTCCCTGGCTTAGGCTCAAGATGTATGCCAACTTTCCAGAAGCACCTCAAGAGGATTCTTCTCTCAGCAATAGTTATGTGGGAAGGACCCCGAGTTTGCTGCCTCAAGCGGAATATACAGCAAGAAGACCTAACTTGAAAGAAGGCCGGATTTCCTTGCAGTGGCTTGAATACAGGCTCGTCTTTGATCTGACAACATGAAGGGATGTCTGAATCCCCTGTGGAGACCTTAGAGAAAGCCCTAGGTCCCTGCCTCATTTTGACGGAATTCCTGACATCCCGTTGACACCTCGAGAGGCACGCGGAGTTCATTGCTTCAAAAGTTGAGGATGCCTGACTCCTCTTGAATACTGATAGGAATCCCAAAATCCCTGTGGCTACTGGAAAGGGTCCTTGGGTGCCCTGTCTCACCTCGAGAAGCGTCCCTTTTGCTCTGCCAAGCCTCGAAGAGATTCCTGAGGTGTCCCTCATTACTAGACAGTAGTCCTGACGTCACTGAATAAACACGTATTTTGAAGGGCTATGCCCGCCTTAACTCGAGAACATACCCCAGGTCCCTGTCGCAACTCAAGAAAAACCAGAGACTTCCCCCTAGATGCGAGATAAGGCCCCATTCCCCTGCAGTGCATGCAGAGCTATTCCGTGATCCCATTCAAACAAGTCAGGAGCTTCGACTTGCCTAATGGATCTTGAGAGAGTCCCCAAGAAAACTGTCACCAGTCTAGACGGACCCTGAGCTCACCCCAGCAACGCAAAGCAGCTCCATGTGCCCCAAATCAACTCGAGATGAGGCCTGATTCCCCTGCATTGACTCCAGAGCCATTCCCCGTTCCCCATTCAACACGACCGGTGGCTCGACTTTCTTCTGGCAACTCCAGAGATGCCCCGAGAACACTGTCCCAAGTCTAGAGGAACACCAACTTCAGAACAGCAACTCAAGGAATGCTCCGATTACCCCAAATTGTCTCGAGATGAGAGCTGATTCCCTGGCTTAGGCTCAAGTCGTATGCCAACGTTCGAGAATCACCTCAGGAGGAGGCTTCTCTCAGCAATAGGTATGTGGGAGGGACCCCGAGATCGCTGCCTCAAGGGGAATATACAGCGAGAAGCTCTAACTTGAAAGGAGGCCAGATTTCCTTGCAGTGGCTTGAATACAGGCTCGTCTTTGATCTCAAAACATGAAGGGATGTCTGAATCCACTGTGGAGACCTTAGAGAAAGCCCTAGGTCCCTGCCTCATTTTGACGGAATGCCTCACATCCCGTTGAAACCTCGAGAGGCAGGCGGAGTTCATTTCTTCAAAAGGTGACGATGCCTGACTCCTCTTGAATACTGATAGGAAACCCAAAATCACTGTGGCTACTGGAAAGGGTCCTTGGGTGCCCTGCCTCACCTCGAGAAGCGTCCCTTTTGCCCTGCCAAGCCTCGAAGAGATTCCTGAGGTGTCCCTCGTTACTAGACAGGAGTCCTGACATCACTGAATAAACACGTGTTTTGAAGGGCCATTCCCGCTGTATGTCGAGAACATAACCCAGGTCCCTGCCGCAACTCGAGAAAAACCATGAGACTTCTCCGTAGAGGCGAGATGAGGCCCCATTCCCCTGCAGTGCATGCAGAGCTATTCTGTAATCCCATTCAAACAAGTGAGGAGCTTCGACTTGCTTAATGGATCTCGAGACAGTCCCCAAGAACACTGTCACCAGTCTAGACAGACCCTAAGATCATCCCAGCAACGCAAAGCAGCTCCATGTGCCCCAAATCAACTCGAGATGAGGCCCGATTCCCCTGCATTGACTCCAGAGCCATTCCCCGTTCCCCATTCAACACGAACGGTGTCTCGACTTCCTTTAGGCAACTCCAGAGATGCCCCGAGAACACTCTCCAAAGTCTAGACGAACAGCAACTTCAGCACAGCAACTCGAGGAATGCTCCGTTTACCCCAAGTCGTCTCGAGATGAGAGCTGATTCCCTGGCTTAGGCTCAAGACGTATGCCAACTTTCCATAAGCACCTCAGGAGGAGGCTTCTCTCAGCAATAGGTATGTGGGAGGGACCGCCAGATCGCTGCCTCAAGTGGAATATACAGCGAGAAGCCTTAAATTGAAAGGAGGCCGGATTTCCTTGGAGTGGCTTGAATACAGGCTCGTCTTTGATCACACAACATGAAAGGATGTCTGAATCCCCTCTGGAGACCTTAGAGAAAGCCCTAGGAGAAGCAACTCAAGAAGAGGCTTCTCTCAGCTATAGGTATGTGGGAGGGACCCCGAGTTTGCTGCCGCAAGAGGAATATACAGCGAGAAGCCCTGACTTGAAATGAGGCCGGATTTCTTTGCAGTGGCTTGAATAGAGGCTCGATTTTCATCTCACAACAGGAAGGGATGTCTGAATCCCCTGTGGAGAACTTAGAGAAAGCCCTAGGTCCCTGCCTCATTTTGACGGAAAGCTTCACATCCCGTTGACACCTCAAGAGGCACGCGGAGTTCATTGCTTCAAAAGGTGACGATGCCTGACTCCTCTTGAATACTGATAGGAATCCGAAAATACCTGTGGCTACTGGAAAGGGTCCTTGGGTGCCCTGCCTCACCTCGAGTAGCGTCCATTTTGCCCTGCCAAGCGTCGAAGAGATTCCTGAGGGGTCCCTCGTTACTAGACAGGAGTCCTGACGTCACTGAATAAACACGTGTTTTGAAGGGCCATCCCCGCCGTAATTTGACAACATAACACAGGTCCCCGCGCCAACTCGAGAAAAACCATGAGACTTCCCCCTAGAGGCGAGATGAGGCCCCATTCCCCTGCAGTGCATGGAGAGCTATTCCGTGATCCCCATCAAACAAGTCAGGAGCTTCAACTTGCTTAATGGATCTCGAGACAGTCCCCAAGAACACTGTCACAAGTCTAGGCGGACCCTGAGGTCACCCCAGCAATGCAGAGCAGCTCCATGTGCCCCAAATCAACTCGAGATGAGGCCCGATTCCCCTGCATTCACTCCAAAGCCATCCCCCGTTCGCCATTCAACACCAGCAGTGGCTGGACTTCCTTCATGCAACTCCAGAGCTGCCCCGAGAACACTGTCCCAAGTCTAGAGGAACACCAACTGCAGCACAGAAACTCGAGGAATGCTCCGTGTACCCCAAATCGTCTCGAGATGAGAGCTGATTCCCTGGCTTAGGCTCAAGACGTTTGCCAACTTTACAGAAGCACCTCAAGAGGAGGCTTCTCTCAGCAATAGGTATGTGGGAGGGACCCCGAGTTTGCTGCCTCAAGGGGAATATACAGCGAGAAGCCCTAACTTGAAAGGAGGCCTGGTTTCCTTGCAGTGGCTTGAATACAGGCTCGTCTTTCATCTCACAACAGGAAGGGATGTCTGAATCCCCTGTGGAGACCTTAGAGAAAGCCCTTGGTCCCTGCCTCATTTTGACGGAATGCCTCACATCCCGTTGACACCTCGAGAGGCACGCGGAGTTCACTGCTTCAAAAGGTGACGATGCCTGACTCCTCTTGAATACTGATAGGAATCCCAAAATCCCTGTGGCTACTGGAAAGGGTCCTTGGGTGCACTGCCTCACGTCGAGAAGCGTCCCTTTTGCCCTGCCAAGCCTCAAAGAGATTCCGGAGGTGTCCCTCGTTACTAGCAAGAGTCCTGACGTCACTGAAAAAACACGTGGTTGGAAGGGCCATCGCCGCCGTAACTCGAGAACATACCCCAGGTCCCTGAGGCAACTCGAGAAAAACCATGAGACTTCCCCCTAGAGGCGACATGAGGCCCCATTCCCCTGCAGTGCATGCAGAGCTATTCCGTGATCCCATTCAAACAAGTCAGGAGCTTCGACTTGCTTAATGGATCTCGAGACAGTCCCCAAGAACACTGTCACCAGTCTAGACGGACCCTGAGGTCACCCCAGCAAGGCAAAGCAGCTCCATGTGCCCCAAATCAACTCGAGATGAGGCCCGATTCCCCTGCATTCACTCCAGAGCCATTCCCCATTCCCATTCAACATGACCGGTGGCTCGACTTCCTTCAGGCAACTCCAGAGATGCCCCGAGAACACTGTCCCAAGTCTAGAGGAACACCAACTTCAGCACAGCAACTCGAGGAATGCTCCGTATACCCCAAATCGTCTCGAGATGAGAGCTGATTCCCTGGTTTTGGCTCAAGACATATGCCAACGTTCCAGAAGCACCTCAGGAGGAGGCTTCTCTCAGCAATAGGTTTGTGGGAGGGACCCCGAGATCGCTGCCCAAGTGGAATATACAGCGAGAAGCCCTAACTTGAAAGGAGGCCGTATTTCCTTGCAGTGGCTTGAATACAGGCTCGTCTTTCATCTCACAACATGAAGGGATGTCTGAATCCCCTGTGGAGACCATAGAGAAAGCCCTAGGTCCCTGCCTCATTTTGACGGAATGCCTCACATCCCGCTGACACCTCGAGAGGCACTCGGAGTTCATTGCTTCAAAAGGTGACGATGCCTGACTCCTCTTGAATACTGATAGGAATCCCAAAATCCCTGTGGCTACTGGAAAGGGTCCTTGGGTGCCCTGGCTCACCTCGAGAAGCGTCCCTTTTGCCCTGCCAAGCCTCGAAGAGATTCCTGAGGTGTCCCTCGTTACTAGACAGGAGTCCTGACGTCACTGAATAAAGACGTGTTTTGAAGGGCCATCCCCGCTGTAAGTCGAGAACATACCCCAGGTCCCCGCCGCAACTCGAGAAAAACCATGAGACTTCCCCCTAGAGGCGAGATGAGGCCCCATTCCCCTGCAGTGCATGTAGAGCTATTCCGTGATCCCATTCAAACAAGTCAGGAGCCTCGACTTGCTTAATGGATCTCGAGACAGTCCCCAAGAACACTGTCACGAGTCTAGACGGACCCTGAGGTCACCCCAGCAACGCAAAGCAGCTCCATGTGCCCCAAATCAACTCGAGATGAGGCCCGATTCCCCTGCATTGACTCCAGAGCCATTCCCCGTTCCCCATTCAACATGATCGGTGGCTCGACTTCCTTCAGGCAACTCCAGAGATGCCCCGAGAACACTGTCCCAAGTCTAGAGGAACACCAACTTCAGCACAGAAACTCGAGGAATGCTCCGTGTACCCCAAATCGTCTCGAGATGAGAGCTGATTCCCTGGCTTAGGCTCAAGATGTATGCCAACTTTCCAGAAGCACCTCAAGAGGATTCTTCTCTCAGCAATAGTTATGTGGGAAGGACCCCGAGTTTGCTGCCTCAAGCGGAATATACAGCAAGAAGACCTAACTTGAAAGAAGGCCGGATTTCCTTGCAGTGGCTTGAATACAGGCTCGTCTTTGATCTGACAACATGAAGGGATGTCTGAATCCCCTGTGGAGACCTTAGAGAAAGCCCTAGGTCCCTGCCTCATTTTGACGGAATTCCTGACATCCCGTTGACACCTCGAGAGACACGCGGAGTTCATTGCTTCAAAAGTTGAGGATGCCTGACTCCTCTTGAATACTGATAGGAATCCCAAAATCCCTGTGGCTACTGGAAAGGGTCCTTGGGTGCCCTGTCTCACCTCGAGAAGCGTCCCTTTTGCTCTGCCAAGCCTCGAAGAGATTCCTGAGGTGTCCCTCATTACTAGACAGTAGTCCTGACGTCACTGAATAAACACGTATTTTGAAGGGCTATGCCCGCCTTAACTCGAGAACATACCCCAGGTCCCTGTCGCAACTCAAGAAAAACCAGAGACTTCCCCCTAGATGCGAGATAAGGCCCCATTCCCCTGCAGTGCATGCAGAGCTATTCCGTGATCCCATTCAAACAAGTCAGGAGCTTCGACTTGCCTAATGGATCTTGAGAGAGTCCCCAAGAAAACTGTCACCAGTCTAGACGGACCCTGAGCTCACCCCAGCAACGCAAAGCAGCTCCATGTGCCCCAAATCAACTCGAGATGAGGCCTGATTCCCCTGCATTGACTCCAGAGCCATTCCCCGTTCCCCATTCAACACGACCGGTGGCTCGACTTTCTTCTGGCAACTCCAGAGATGCCCCGAGAACACTGTCCCAAGTCTAGAGGAACACCAACTTCAGAACAGCAACTCAAGGAATGCTCCGATTACCCCAAATTGTCTCGAGATGAGAGCTGATTCCCTGGCTTAGGCTCAAGTCGTATGCCAACGTTCGAGAATCACCTCAGGAGGAGGCTTCTCTCAGCAATAGGTATGTGGGAGGGACCCCGAGATCGCTGCCTCAAGGGGAATATACAGCGAGAAGCTCTAACTTGAAAGGAGGCCAGATTTCCTTGCAGTGGCTTGAATACAGGCTCGTCTTTGATCTCAAAACATGAAGGGATGTCTGAATCCACTGTGGAGACCTTAGAGAAAGCCCTAGGTCCCTGCCTCATTTTGACGGAATGCCTCACATCCCGTTGAAACCTCGAGATGCAGGCGGAGTTCATTTCTTCAAAAGGTGACGATGCCTGACTCCTCTTGAATACTGATAGGAAACCCAAAATCACTGTGGCTACTGGAAAGGGTCCTTGGGTGCCCTGCCTCACCTCGAGAAGCGTCCCTTTTGCCCTGCCAAGCCTCGAAGAGATTCCTGAGGTGTCCCTCGTTACTAGACAGGAGTCCTGACATCACTGAATAAACACGTGTTTTGAAGGGCCATTCCCGCTGTATGTCGAGAACATAACCCAGGTCCCTGCCGCAACTCGAGAAAAACCATGAGACTTCTCCGTAGAGGCGAGATGAGGCCCCATTCCCCTGCAGTGCATGCAGAGCTATTCTGTAATCCCATTCAAACAAGTGAGGAGCTTCGACTTGCTTAATGGATCTCGAGACAGTCCCCAAGAACACTGTCACCAGTCTAGACAGACCCTAAGATCATCCCAGCAACGCAAAGCAGCTCCATGTGCCCCAAATCAACTCGAGATGAGGCCCGATTCCCCTGCATTGACTCCAGAGCCATTCCCCGTTCCCCATTCAACACGAACGGTGTCTCGACTTCCTTTAGGCAACTCCAGAGATGCCCCGAGAACACTCTCCAAAGTCTAGACGAACAGCAACTTCAGCACAGCAACTCGAGGAATGCTCCGTTTACCCCAAGTCGTCTCGAGATGAGAGCTGATTCCCTGGCTTAGGCTCAAGACGTATGCCAACTTTCCATAAGCACCTCAGGAGGAGGCTTCTCTCAGCAATAGGTATGTGGGAGGGACCGCCAGATCGCTGCCTCAAGTGGAATATACAGCGAGAAGCCTTAAATTGAAAGGAGGCCGGATTTCCTTGGAGTGGCTTGAATACAGGCTCGTCTTTGATCACACAACATGAAAGGATGTCTGAATCCCCTCTGGAGACCTTAGAGAAAGCCCTAGGAGAAGCAACTCAAGAAGAGGCTTCTCTCAGCTATAGGTATGTGGGAGGGACCCCGAGTTTGCTGCCGCAAGAGGAATATACAGCGAGAAGCCCTGACTTGAAATGAGGCCGGATTTCTTTGCAGTGGCTTGAATAGAGGCTCGATTTTCATCTCACAACAGGAAGGGATGTCTGAATCCCCTGTGGAGAACTTAGAGAAAGCCCTAGGTCCCTGCCTCATTTTGACGGAAAGCTTCACATCCCGTTGACACCTCAAGAGGCACGCGGAGTTCATTGCTTCAAAAGGTGACGATGCCTGACTCCTCTTGAATACTGATAGGAATCCGAAAATACCTGTGGCTACTGGAAAGGGTCCTTGGGTGCCCTGCCTCACCTCGAGTAGCGTCCATTTTGCCCTGCCAAGCGTCGAAGAGATTCCTGAGGGGTCCCTCGTTACTAGACAGGAGTCCTGACGTCACTGAATAAACACGTGTTTTGAAGGGCCATCCCCGCCGTAATTTGACAACATAACACAGGTCCCCGCGCCAACTCGAGAAAAACCATGAGACTTCCCCCTAGAGGCGAGATGAGGCCCCATTCCCCTGCAGTGCATGGAGAGCTATTCCGTGATCCCCATCAAACAAGTCAGGAGCTTCAACTTGCTTAATGGATCTCGAGACAGTCCCCAAGAACACTGTCACAAGTCTAGGCGGACCCTGAGGTCACCCCAGCAATGCAGAGCAGCTCCATGTGCCCCAAATCAACTCGAGATGAGGCCCGATTCCCCTGCATTCACTCCAAAGCCATCCCCCGTTCGCCATTCAACACCAGCAATGGCTGGACTTCCTTCATGCAACTCCAGAGCTGCCCCGAGAACACTGTCCCAAGTCTAGAGGAACACCAACTGCAGCACAGAAACTCGAGGAATGCTCCGTGTACCCCAAATCGTCTCGAGATGAGAGCTGATTCCCTGGCTTAGGCTCAAGACGTTTGCCAACTTTACAGAAGCACCTCAAGAGGAGGCTTCTCTCAGCAATAGGTATGTGGGAGGGACCCCGAGTTTGCTGCCTCAAGGGGAATATACAGCGAGAAGCCCTAACTTGAAAGGAGGCCTGGTTTCCTTGCAGTGGCTTGAATACAGGCTCGTCTTTCATCTCACAACAGGAAGGGATGTCTGAGTCCCCTGTGGAGACCTTAGAGAAAGCCCTTGGTCCCTGCCTCATTTTGACGGAATGCCTCACATCCCGTTGACACCTCGAGAGGCACGCGGAGTTCACTGCTTCAAAAGGTGACGATGCCTGACTCCTCTTGAATACTGATAGGAATCCCAAAATCCCTGTGGCTACTGGAAAGGGTCCTTGGGTGCACTGCCTCACGTCGAGAAGCGTCCCTTTTGCCCTGCCAAGCCTCAAAGAGATTCCGGAGGTGTCCCTCGTTACTAGCAAGAGTCCTGACGTCACTGAAAAAACACGTGGTTGGAAGGGCCATCGCCGCCGTAACTCGAGAACATACCCCAGGTCCCTGAGGCAACTCGAGAAAAACCATGAGACTTCCCCCTAGAGGCGACATGAGGCCCCATTCCCCTGCAGTGCATGCAGAGCTATTCCGTGATCCCATTCAAACAAGTCAGGAGCTTCGACTTGCTTAATGGATCTCGAGACAGTCCCCAAGAACACTGTCACCAGTCTAGACGGACCCTGAGGTCACCCCAGCAAGGCAAAGCAGCTCCATGTGCCCCAAATCAACTCGAGATGAGGCCCGATTCCCCTGCATTCACTCCAGAGCCATTCCCCATTCCCATTCAACATGACCGGTGGCTCGACTTCCTTCAGGCAACTCCAGAGATGCCCCGAGAACACTGTCCCAAGTCTAGAGGAACACCAACTTCAGCACAGCAACTCGAGGAATGCTCCGTATACCCCAAATCGTCTCGAGATGAGAGCTGATTCCCTGGTTTTGGCTCAAGACATATGCCAACGTTCCAGAAGCACCTCAGGAGGAGGCTTCTCTCAGCAATAGGTTTGTGGGAGGGACCCCGAGATCGCTGCCCAAGTGGAATATACAGCGAGAAGCCCTAACTTGAAAGGAGGCCGTATTTCCTTGCAGTGGCTTGAATACAGGCTCGTCTTTCATCTCACAACATGAAGGGATGTCTGAATCCCCTGTGGAGACCATAGAGAAAGCCCTAGGTCCCTGCCTCATTTTGACGGAATGCCTCACATCCCGCTGACACCTCGAGAGGCACTCGGAGTTCATTGCTTCAAAAGGTGACGATGCCTGACTCCTCTTGAATACTGATAGGAATCCCAAAATCCCTGTGGCTACTGGAAAGGGTCCTTGGGTGCCCTGGCTCACCTCGAGAAGCGTCCCTTTTGCCCTGCCAAGCCTCGAAGAGATTCCTGAGGTGTCCCTCGTTACTAGACAGGAGTCCTGACGTCACTGAATAAAGACGTGTTTTGAAGGGCCATCCCCGCTGTAAGTCGAGAACATACCCCAGGTCCCCGCCGCAACTCGAGAAAAACCATGAGACTTCCCCCTAGAGGCGAGATGAGGCCCCATTCCCCTGCAGTGCATGTAGAGCTATTCCGTGATCCCATTCAAACAAGTCAGGAGCCTCGACTTGCTTAATGGATCTCGAGACAGTCCCCAAGAACACTGTCACGAGTCTAGACGGACCCTGAGGTCACCCCAGCAACGCAAAGCAGCTCCATGTGCCCCAAATCAACTCGAGATGAGGCCCGATTCCCCTGCATTGACTCCAGAGCCATTCCCCGTTCCCCATTCAACATGATCGGTGGCTCGACTTCCTTCAGGCAACTCCAGAGATGCCCCGAGAACACTGTCCCAAGTCTAGAGGAACACCAACTTCAGCACAGAAACTCGAGGAATGCTCCGTGTACCCCAAATCGTCTCGAGATGAGAGCTGATTCCCTGGCTTAGGCTCAAGATGTATGCCAACTTTCCAGAAGCACCTCAAGAGGATTCTTCTCTCAGCAATAGTTATGTGGGAAGGACCCCGAGTTTGCTGCCTCAAGCGGAATATACAGCAAGAAGACCTAACTTGAAAGAAGGCCGGATTTCCTTGCAGTGGCTTGAATACAGGCTCGTCTTTGATCTGACAACATGAAGGGATGTCTGAATCCCCTGTGGAGACCTTAGAGAAAGCCCTAGGTCCCTGCCTCATTTTGACGGAATTCCTGACATCCCGTTGACACCTCGAGAGACACGCGGAGTTCATTGCTTCAAAAGTTGAGGATGCCTGACTCCTCTTGAATACTGATAGGAATCCCAAAATCCCTGTGGCTACTGGAAAGGGTCCTTGGGTGCCCTGTCTCACCTCGAGAAGCGTCCCTTTTGCTCTGCCAAGCCTCGAAGAGATTCCTGAGGTGTCCCTCATTACTAGACAGTAGTCCTGACGTCACTGAATAAACACGTATTTTGAAGGGCTATGCCCGCCTTAACTCGAGAACATACCCCAGGTCCCTGTCGCAACTCAAGAAAAACCAGAGACTTCCCCCTAGATGCGAGATAAGGCCCCATTCCCCTGCAGTGCATGCAGAGCTATTCCGTGATCCCATTCAAACAAGTCAGGAGCTTCGACTTGCCTAATGGATCTTGAGAGAGTCCCCAAGAAAACTGTCACCAGTCTAGACGGACCCTGAGCTCACCCCAGCAACGCAAAGCAGCTCCATGTGCCCCAAATCAACTCGAGATGAGGCCTGATTCCCCTGCATTGACTCCAGAGCCATTCCCCGTTCCCCATTCAACACGACCGGTGGCTCGACTTTCTTCTGGCAACTCCAGAGATGCCCCGAGAACACTGTCCCAAGTCTAGAGGAACACCAACTTCAGAACAGCAACTCAAGGAATGCTCCGATTACCCCAAATTGTCTCGAGATGAGAGCTGATTCCCTGGCTTAGGCTCAAGTCGTATGCCAACGTTCGAGAATCACCTCAGGAGGAGGCTTCTCTCAGCAATAGGTATGTGGGAGGGACCCCGAGATCGCTGCCTCAAGGGGAATATACAGCGAGAAGCTCTAACTTGAAAGGAGGCCAGATTTCCTTGCAGTGGCTTGAATACAGGCTCGTCTTTGATCTCAAAACATGAAGGGATGTCTGAATCCACTGTGGAGACCTTAGAGAAAGCCCTAGGTCCCTGCCTCATTTTGACGGAATGCCTCACATCCCGTTGAAACCTCGAGAGGCAGGCGGAGTTCATTTCTTCAAAAGGTGACGATGCCTGACTCCTCTTGAATACTGATAGGAAACCCAAAATCACTGTGGCTACTGGAAAGGGTCCTTGGGTGCCCTGCCTCACCTCGAGAAGCGTCCCTTTTGCCCTGCCAAGCCTCGAAGAGATTCCTGAGGTGTCCCTCGTTACTAGACAGGAGTCCTGACATCACTGAATAAACACGTGTTTTGAAGGGCCATTCCCGCTGTATGTCGAGAACATAACCCAGGTCCCTGCCGCAACTCGAGAAAAACCATGAGACTTCTCCGTAGAGGCGAGATGAGGCCCCATTCCCCTGCAGTGCATGCAGAGCTATTCTGTAATCCCATTCAAACAAGTGAGGAGCTTCGACTTGCTTAATGGATCTCGAGACAGTCCCCAAGAACACTGTCACCAGTCTAGACAGACCCTAAGATCATCCCAGCAACGCAAAGCAGCTCCATGTGCCCCAAATCAACTCGAGATGAGGCCCGATTCCCCTGCATTGACTCCAGAACCATTCCCCGTTCCCCATTCAACACGAACGGTGTCTCGACTTCCTTTAGGCAACTCCAGAGATGCCCCGAGAACACTCTCCAAAGTCTAGACGAACAGCAACTTCAGCACAGCAACTCGAGGAATGCTCCGTTTACCCCAAGTCGTCTCGAGATGAGAGCTGATTCCCTGGCTTAGGCTCAAGACGTATGCCAACTTTCCATAAGCACCTCAGGAGGAGGCTTCTCTCAGCAATAGGTATGTGGGAGGGACCGCCAGATCGCTGCCTCAAGTGGAATATACAGCGAGAAGCCTTAAATTGAAAGGAGGCCGGATTTCCTTGGAGTGGCTTGAATACAGGCTCGTCTTTGATCACACAACATGAAAGGATGTCTGAATCCCCTCTGGAGACCTTAGAGAAAGCCCTAGGAGAAGCAACTCAAGAAGAGGCTTCTCTCAGCTATAGGTATGTGGGAGGGACCCCGAGTTTGCTGCCGCAAGAGGAATATACAGCGAGAAGCCCTGACTTGAAATGAGGCCGGATTTCTTTGCAGTGGCTTGAATAGAGGCTCGATTTTCATCTCACAACAGGAAGGGATGTCTGAATCCCCTGTGGAGAACTTAGAGAAAGCCCTAGGTCCCTGCCTCATTTTGACGGAAAGCTTCACATCCCGTTGACACCTCAAGAGGCACGCGGAGTTCATTGCTTCAAAAGGTGACGATGCCTGACTCCTCTTGAATACTGATAGGAATCCGAAAATACCTGTGGCTACTGGAAAGGGTCCTTGGGTGCCCTGCCTCACCTCGAGTAGCGTCCATTTTGCCCTGCCAAGCGTCGAAGAGATTCCTGAGGGGTCCCTCGTTACTAGACAGGAGTCCTGACGTCACTGAATAAACACGTGTTTTGAAGGGCCATCCCCGCCGTAATTTGACAACATAACACAGGTCCCCGCGCCAACTCGAGAAAAACCATGAGACTTCCCCCTAGAGGCGAGATGAGGCCCCATTCCCCTGCAGTGCATGGAGAGCTATTCCGTGATCCCCATCAAACAAGTCAGGAGCTTCAACTTGCTTAATGGATCTCGAGACAGTCCCCAAGAACACTGTCACAAGTCTAGGCGGACCCTGAGGTCACCCCAGCAATGCAGAGCAGCTCCATGTGCCCCAAATCAACTCGAGATGAGGCCCGATTCCCCTGCATTCACTCCAAAGCCATCCCCCGTTCGCCATTCAACACCAGCAGTGGCTGGACTTCCTTCATGCAACTCCAGAGCTGCCCCGAGAACACTGTCCCAAGTCTAGAGGAACACCAACTGCAGCACAGAAACTCGAGGAATGCTCCGTGTACCCCAAATCGTCTCGAGATGAGAGCTGATTCCCTGGCTTAGGCTCAAGACGTTTGCCAACTTTACAGAAGCACCTCAAGAGGAGGCTTCTCTCAGCAATAGGTATGTGGGAGGGACCCCGAGTTTGCTGCCTCAAGGGGAATATACAGCGAGAAGCCCTAACTTGAAAGGAGGCCTGGTTTCCTTGCAGTGGCTTGAATACAGGCTCGTCTTTCATCTCACAACAGGAAGGGATGTCTGAATCCCCTGTGGAGACCTTAGAGAAAGCCCTTGGTCCCTGCCTCATTTTGACGGAATGCCTCACATCCCGTTGACACCTCGAGAGGCACGCGGAGTTCACTGCTTCAAAAGGTGAGGATGCCTGACTCCTCTTGAATACTGATAGGAATCCCAAAATCCCTGTGGCTACTGGAAAGGGTCCTTGGGTGCACTGCCTCACGTCGAGAAGCGTCCCTTTTGCCCTGCCAAGCCTCAAAGAGATTCCGGAGGTGTCCCTCGTTACTAGCAAGAGTCCTGACGTCACTGAAAAAACACGTGGTTGGAAGGGCCATCGCCGCCGTAACTCGAGAACATACCCCAGGTCCCTGAGGCAACTCGAGAAAAACCATGAGACTTCCCCCTAGAGGCGACATGAGGCCCCATTCCCCTGCAGTGCATGCAGAGCTATTCCGTGATCCACATCCAACAAGTCAGGAGCTTCGACTTGCTTAATGGACCTCGAGACATGCCCCAAGAACACTGTCACAAGTCTAGACGGACCCTGAGGTCACCCCAGCAACGCAAAGCAGCTCCATGTGCCCCAAATAAACTCGAGATGAGGCCCGATTCCACTGCAGTGACTCCAGAGCCATCCCCTTTCCCCATTCAACAACACGAGTGGTTTGACTTCCTTCAGGCAACTCCAGAGATGCCCCGAGAACACTGTCCCAAGTCTAGAGGAACACCAACTTCAGCACAGAAACGCGAGGAATGCTCCGTGTACCCCAAATCGTCTTGAGATGAGAGCTGATTCCCTGGCTTAGGCTCAAGACGTATGCCAACTTTCCAGAGGCACCTCAAATGGAGGCATCTCTCAGCAATAGGTATGTGGGAGGGACCCCGAGTTTGCTGCCTCAAGTGGAATATACAGCGAGAAGCCCTAACTTGAAATGAGGCCGGATTTCCTTGCAGTGGCTTGAATAGAGGCTCGACTTTCATCTCACAACAGGAAGGGATGTCTGAATCCCCTGTGGAGACCTTAGAGAAAGCCCTAGGTCCCTGCCTCATTTTGACGGAATGCCTCACATTCCGTTGACACTTCGAGAGGCACGCGGAGTTCATTGCTTCAAAAGGTGACGATGTCTGACTTCTGTTGAATACTGATAGGAAACCGAAAATCCCTGAGGCTACTGGAAAGGTTCCTTGGGTGCCCTGCCTCACCTCGAGAAGCGTACCTTTTGCCCTGCCAAGCCTCGAAGAGATTCCTGAGGTGTCCCTCGTTAGTAGACAGGAGTCTTAAGGTCACTGAATAAACACGTGTTTTGAAGGGCCATCCCCACCGTAATTCGAGAACATACCACAGGTTCCCGCGGCAACTCGAGAAAAACCATGAGACTTCCCCCTAGAGGCGAGATGAGGCCCCATTCCCCTGCAGTGCAGGCAGAGCTATTCCGTGATCCCCATCAAACAAGTCAGGAGCTTCGACTTGCTTAATGGATCTCGAGACAGTCCCCACGAACACTTTCACAAGTCTAGGCGGACCCTGAGTTCACCCCAGCAACGCAGAGCAGCTCCATGTGCCCCAAATCAACTCGAGATGAGGCCCGATTCCCCTGCATTGACTCCAGAGCCATTCCCCGTTCCCCATTCAACACGACCGGTGGCTCGACTTCCTTTAGGCAACTCCAGAGATGCCCCGAGAACACTGTCCCAAGGCTAGAGGAACACCAACTTCAGCACATCAACTCGAGGAATGCTCCGTGTACACCAAATCGTCTCGAGATGAGAGCTGATTCCCTGGCTTAGGCTCAATACGTATGCCAACTTTCCAGAACCACCTCAAGAGGAGGCTTCTCTCAGCAATAGGTATGTGGGAGGGACCCTGAGTTTGCTGCCTCAAGGGGAATATACAGCGAGAAGCCTTAACTTGAAAGGAGGCCAGATTTCCTTGCAGTGGCTTGAATACAGGCTCGTCTTTGATCTCAAAATATGGAGGCATGTCTGAATCCCCTGTGGAGACCTTAGAGAAAGACCTAGGTCCCTGCCTCATTTTGACGGAATGCCTCACATCCCGCTGACACCTCGAGAGGCATTCGGAGTTCATTGCTTTAAAAGGTGACGATGCCTGACTCCACTTGAATACTGATAGGAATCCCAAAATCCCTGTGGCTACTGGAAAGGGTCCTTGGGTGCCCTTCCTCACCTCGAGAAGCATTCCTTTTGCCCTGCCAAGCCTCGAAGAGATTACTGAGGTGTCCCTCGTCACTAGACAGAAGTCCTGATGTCACTGAAGAAACTCGTGTTTTGAAGGGCCATCCCGCCGTAAGTCGAGAACATAGCCCAGTTCCCCGCCGCAACTCGAGAAAAACCATGAGACTTCCCCCTAGAGGCGAAATGAGGCCCCATTCCGCTGCAGTGCATGCAGAGCTATTCCGTGATCCCATTCAAACAAGTCAGGAGCTTCGACTTGCTTAATGGATCTCGAGACAGTCCCCAAGAACACTGTCACCAGTCTAGACGGACCCTGAGGTCACCCCAGAAACGCAAAGCAGCTCCATGTTCCCCAAATCAACTCGAGATGAGGCCCGATTCCCCTGCATTGACTCCAGAGCCATTCCCCGTTCCCCATTCAACACGACCGGTGGCTCGACTTCCTTCAGGCAACTCCAGAGATACCCCGAGAACACTGTCCCAAGTCTAGAGGAACACCAACTTCAGCACAGCAACTCGAGGAATGCTCCGTGTACCCCAAATCGTCTCGAGATGAGAGCTGATTCCCTTGCTTAGGCTCAAGACGTATGACAACTTTCCAGAAGCACCTCAGGAGGAGGCTTCTCTCAGCAATAGGTATGTGGGTGGGACCCCGAGATCGCTGCCTCAAGGAGAATATACAGCGAGAAGCCCTAACTTGAAAGGAGGCTGGATTTCCTTGCAGTGGCTTGAATACAGGCTCGTCTTTGATCTCAAAACATGAAGGGATGTGTAAATCCCCTGTGGAGACCTTAGAGAAAGCCCTAGGTCCCTGCCTCATTTTGACGGAATGCCTCACATCCCGCTGACACATCGAGAGGCACGCGCAGTTCATTGCTTCAAAAGGTGACGATGCCTGACTCCTCTTGAATACTGATAGGAATCCCAAAATCCCTGGGGCTACTGGAAAGGGTCCTTGGGTGCCCTGCCTCACCTCGAGAAGTGTCCCTTTTGCCCTGCCAAGCCTCGAATAGATTCCTGAGGTGTCCCTCATTACTAGACTGGAGTCCTGACGTCACTGAAGAATCTCCTGTTTTGAAGGGCCATCCCCGCCGTAAGTCGTGAACATACCCCAGGTCCCCGCCGCAACTCGAGAAACACCATGAGACTTCTCCCTAGAGGCGAGATGAGGCCCCATTCCCCTGCAGTGCATGCAGAGCTATTCCCTAATCCCATTCAAACAAGTCAGGAGCTTCGACTTGCTTAATGGATCTCGAGACAGTCGCCAAGAACACTGTCAACAGTCTAGACGGACCCTGAGGTCAACCCAGCAATGCAAAGCCGCTCCATGTGCCCCAAATCAACTCGAGATGAGGCCCGATTAACCTGCATTGTCTCCAGAGCCATTCCTCGTTCCCCATTCAACACGAACGGTGGCTCAACTTCCTTCAGGCAACTCCAGAGTTGCCCCGAAAACACTGTCCCAAGTCTAGAGGAACACCAACTTCAGCACAGCAACTCGAGGATTGCTCCGTGTACCCCAAATCGTCTCGAGATGAGACCTGATTCCCTGGCTTAGGCTCAAGACGTATGCCAACTTTCCAGAAGCACCTCAGGAGGAGGCTTCTCTCAGCAATAAGTATGTTGGAGGGAACTCGAGATCGCTGCCTCAAGGGGAATATACAGCGAGAAGCCCTAACTTGAAAGGAGACCGGATTTCCGTGCAGTGGCTTGAATACAGGCTGGTCTTTGATCTCAAAACATGAAAGGATGTCTGAATCCCCTGTGGAGTCCTTAGAGAAAGGCCTAGGTCCCTGACTCATTTTGACGGAATGCCTCACATCCCGTTGACACCTCGAGAGGCACGCGGAGTTCATTGCTTCAAAAGGTGACGATGCCTGACTCCTCTTGAATACTGATAGGAATCCCAAAATCCCTGTGGCTACTGGAAAGGGTCCTTGGGTGTCCTGCCTCACCTCGAGAAGCGTCCCTTTTGCCCTGCCTAGGCTGGAAGAGATTCCTGAGGTGTCCCTCGTTACTAGACAGGAGTCCTGACGTCACTGAAAAAACACGTGTTTTGAAGGGCCATCCCCGCCGTAAGTCGAGAACATACCCCAGGTCCCCGCCGCAACTCGAGAAAAACCATGAGACTTCCCCCTAGAGGCGAGATGAGGCCCCATTCTGCTGCAGTGCATGCAGAGCTATTCCGTGATCCCACTCATACAAGTCAGGAGCTTCGACTTGCTTAATGGATCTCGATTCAGTTCCCAAGAACACTCTCACGAGTCTAGACGGACCCTGAGGTCAACCCAGCAACTCAAAGCATCTCCATGTGCCCCAAATCAACTCGAGATGAGACCCGATTCCCCAGCACTGACTCCAGAGCCATTCCCCGTTCCCCATTCAACACGACCTGTGGCTCGACTTCCTTCAGGCAACTCCAGAGATGCCCCGAGAACACTGTCCCAAGTCTAGAGGAACACCAACTTCACCACAGCAACTCGAGGAATGCTCCGTGTACCCCAAATCGTCTGGAGATGAGAGCTGATTCCCTGGCTTAGGCTCAAGACGTATGCCAACGTTCCAGAAGCACCTCATTAGGAGGCTTCTCTCAGCAGTAGGTATGTGGGTGGGACCCCGAGATCGCTGCCTCAAGGTGAATATACAGCGAGAAGCCCTAACTTGAAAGGAGGCCGGATTTCCTTGCAGTGGCTTGAATACAGGCTCGTCTTTGATCTCAAAACATGAAGGGATGTCTGAATCCCCTGTGGAGAACATAGAGAAAGACCAAGGTCCCTGCCTCATTTTGACGGAATGCCTCATATCCCGTTGGTACCTCGAGAGGCATGCGGAGTTCATTGCTTCAAAAGGTGACGATGCCTGACTCCTCTTGAATACTGATAGGAATCCCAAAATCCCTGTGGCTACTGGAAAGGGTCCTTGGGTGCCCTGCCTCACCTCGAGAAGCGTCCCTTTTGCCCTGCCAAACCTCGAAGAGATTCCTGAGGTGTCCCTCGTTACTAGAAAGGAGTCCTGACGTCACTGAATAAACTCGTGTTTGGAAGGGCCATCCCCGCCGTAAGTCGAGAACATACCCCAGGTCCCCGCCGCAACTCGAGAAAAACCATGAGACTTCCCCCTAGAGGCGAGAAGAGGCCTCATTCCCCTGCAGTGCATGCAGAGCTATTCCGTGATCCCATTCAAACAAGTCAGGAGCTTCGATTTGCTTAATGGATCTCGAGACAGTCCCCAAGAACACTGTCACCAGTCTAGACGGACCCTGAGGTCACCCCAGCAACGCAAAGCAGCTCCATGTGCCCCAAATCAACTCGAGATGAGGCCCGATTCCCCTGCATTGACTCCAGAGCCATTCCCCGTTCCCCATTCAACATGACCGGTGGCTCGACTTCCTTCAGTCAACTCCAGAGATGCCCCGAGAACACTGTCCCAAGTCTAGAGGAACACCAACTTCAGCACAGCAACTCGAGGAATGCTCCGTGTACCCGAAATCGTCTCGAGATGAGAGCTGATTCCCTGGCTTAGGCTCAAGATGTATGCCAACATTCCAGAAGCACCTCAAGAGGATTCTTCTCTCAGCAATAGTTATGTGGGAAGGACCCCGAGTTTGCTGCCTCAAGCGGAATATACAGCAAGAAGACCTAACTTGAAAGAAGGTCGGATTTCCTTGCAGTGGCTTGAATACAGAGTCGTCTTTGATCTCACAACATGAAGGGATGTCTGAATCCCCTGTGGAGACCTCAGAGAAAGCCCTAGGTCCCTGCCTCATTTTGACGGAATGCCTCACATCCCGTTGACACCTCAAGAGTCACGTGGAGTTCATTGCTTCAAAAGGTGAGGAGGCCTGACTCCTCTTGAATACTGATAGGATTCCAAAAATCCCTGTGGCTACTGGAAAGGGTTCTTGCATGCCCTGCCTCACCTCGAGAAGTGTCCCTTTTGCCCTGCCAAGCCTCGAAGAGATTCCTGAGATGTCCCTCGTTACTAGACAGGAGTCCTGACGTCACTGAAGAAACTCGTGTTTGAAGGGCCATCCCCGCCGTAAGTCGAGGACATACCCCAGGTCCCCGCCGCAACTCGAGAAAAACCGTGAGACTTCCCCCTAGAGGCGAGATGAGGCCCCATTCCCCTGCAGTGCATGCAGAGCTATTCCGTGATCCCATTCAAACAAGTCAGGAGCTTCGACTTGCTTAATGGATCTCGAGACAGTCCCCAAGAACCCTGTCACCAGTCTAGACGGACCCTGAGGTCACCCCAGCAAGGCAAAGCAGCTCCATGTGCCCCAAATCAACTCGAGATGAGGCCCGATTCCCCTGCATTCACTCCAGAGCCATTCCCCATTCCCATTCAACATGACCGGTGGCTCGACTTCCTTCAGGCAACTCCAGAGATGCCCCGAGAACACTGTCCCAAGTCTAGAGGAACACCAACTTCAGCACAGCAACTCGAGGAATGCTCCGTATACCCCAAATCGTCTCGAGATGAGAGCTGATTCCCTGGTTTTGGCTCAAGACATATGCCAACGTTCCAGAAGCACCTCAGGAGGAGGCTTCTCTCAGCAATAGGTTTGTGGGAGGGACCCCGAGATCGCTGCCCAAGTGGAATATACAGCGAGAAGCCCTAACTTGAAAGGAGGCCGTATTTCCTTGCAGTGGCTTGAATACAGGCTCGTCTTTCATCTCACAACATGAAGGGATGTCTGAATCCCCTGTGGAGACCATAGAGAAAGCCCTAGGTCCCTGCCTCATTTTGACGGAATGCCTCACATCCCGCTGACACCTCGAGAGGCACTCGGAGTTCATTGCTTCAAAAGGTGACGATGCCTGACTCCTCTTGAATACTGATAGGAATCCCAAAATCCCTGTGGCTACTGGAAAGGGTCCTTGGGTGTCCTGCCTCACCTCGAGAAGCGTCCCTTTTGCCCTGCCAAGCCTCGAAGAGATTCCTGAGGTGTCCCTCATTACTAGACAGGAGTCCTGACGTCACTGAAGAAACTCGTGTTTTGAAGGGCCATCCCCGCTGTAAGTCGAGAACATACCCCAGGTCCCCGCCACAACTCGAGAAAAACCATGAGACTTCCCCCTAGAGGCGAGAAGAGGCCTCATTCCCCTGCAGTGCATGCAGAGCTATTCCGTGATCCCATTCAAACAAGTCAGGAGCTTCGACTTGCTTAATGGATCTCGAGACAGTCCCCAAGAACACTGTCACGAGTCTAGACGGACCCTGAGGTCACCCCAGCAACGCAAAGCAGCTCCATGTGCCCCAAATCAACTCGAGATGAGGCCCGATTCCCCTGCATTGACTCCAGAGCCATTCCCCGTTCCCCATTCAACATGATCGGTGGCTCGACTTCCTTCAGGCAACTCCAGAGATGCCCCGAGAACACTGTCCCAAGTCTAGAGGAACACCAACTTCAGCACAGAAACTCGAGGAATGCTCCGTGTACCCCAAATCGTCTCGAGATGAGAGCTGATTCCCTGGCTTAGGCTCAAGATGTATGCCAACTTTCCAGAAGCACCTCAAGAGGATTCTTCTCTCAGCAATAGTTATGTGGGAAGGACCCCGAGTTTGCTGCCTCAAGCGGAATATACAGCAAGAAGACCTAACTTGAAAGAAGGCCGGATTTCCTTGCAGTGGCTTGAATACAGGCTCGTCTTTGATCTCAAAACATGAAGGGATGTCTGAATCCCCTGTGGAGACCTTAGAGAAAGCCCTAGGTCCCTGCCTCATTTTGACGGAATTCCTGACATCCCGTTGACACCTCGAGAGGCACGCGGAGTTCATTGCTTCAAAAGTTGAGGATGCCTGACTCCTCTTGAATACTGATAGGAATCCCAAAATCCCTGTGGCTACTGGAAAGGGTCCTTGGGTGCCCTGTCTCACCTCGAGAAGCGTCCCTTTTGCTCTGCCAAGCCTCGAAGAGATTCCTGAGGTGTCCCTCATTACTAGACAGTAGTCCTGACGTCACTGAATAAACACGTATTTTGAAGGGCTATGCCCGCCTTAACTCGAGAACATACCCCAGGTCCCTGTCGCAACTCAAGAAAAACCAGAGACTTCCCCCTAGATGCGAGATAAGGCCCCATTCCCCTGCAGTGCATGCAGAGCTATTCCGTGATCCCATTCAAACAAGTCAGGAGCTTCGACTTGCCTAATGGATCTTGAGAGAGTCCCCAAGAAAACTGTCACCAGTCTAGACGGACCCTGAGCTCACCCCAGCAACGCAAAGCAGCTCCATGTGCCCCAAATCAACTCGAGATGAGGCCTGATTCCCCTGCATTGACTCCAGAGCCATTCCCCGTTCCCCATTCAACACGACCGGTGGCTCGACTTTCTTCTGGCAACTCCAGAGATGCCCCGAGAACACTGTCCCAAGTCTAGAGGAACACCAACTTCAGAACAGCAACTCAAGGAATGCTCCGATTACCCCAAATTGTCTCAAGATGAGAGCTGATTCCCTGGCTTAGGCTCAAGTCGTATGCCAACGTTCGAGAATCACCTCAGGAGGAGGCTTCTCTCAGCAATAGGTATGTGGGAGGGACCCCGAGTTTGCTGCCTCAAGGGGAATATACAGCGAGAAGCTCTAACTTGAAAGGAGGCCAGATTTCCTTGCAGTGGCTTGAATACAGGCTCGTCTTTGATCTCAAAACATGAAGGGATGTCTGAATCCACTGTGGAGACCTTAGAGAAAGCCCTAGGTCCCTGCCTCATTTTGACGGAATGCCTCACATCCCGTTGAAACCTCGAGAGGCAGGCGGAGTTCATTTCTTCAAAAGGTGACGATGCCTGACTCCTCTTGAATACTGATAGGAAACCCAAAATCACTGTGGCTACTGGAAAGGGTCCTTGGGTGCCCTGCCTCACCTCGAGAAGCGTCCCTTTTGCCCTGCCAAGCCTCGAAGAGATTCCTGAGGTGTCCCTCGTTACTAGACAGGAGTCCTGACATCACTGAATAAACACGTGTTTTGAAGGGCCATTCCCGCTGTATGTCGAGAACATAACCCAGGTCCCTGCCGCAACTCGAGAAAAACCATGAGACTTCTCCGTAGAGGCGAGATGAGGCCCCATTCCCCTGCAGTGCATGCAGAGCTATTCTGTAATCCCATTCAAACAAGTGAGGAGCTTCGACTTGCTTAATGGATCTCGAGACAGTCCCCAAGAACACTGTCACCAGTCTAGACAGACCCTAAGATCATCCCAGCAACGCAAAGCAGCTCCATGTGCCCCAAATCAACTCGAGATGAGGCCCGATTCCCCTGCATTGACTCCAGAGCCATTCCCCGTTCCCCATTCAACACGAACGGTGTCTCGACTTCCTTTAGGCAACTCCAGAGATGCCCCGAGAACACTCTCCAAAGTCTAGACGAACAGCAACTTCAGCACAGCAACTCGAGGAATGCTCCGTTTACCCCAAGTCGTCTCGAGATGAGAGCTGATTCCCTGGCTTAGGCTCAAGACGTATGCCAACTTTCCATAAGCACCTCAGGAGGAGGCTTCTCTCAGCAATAGGTATGTGGGAGGGACCGCCAGATCGCTGCCTCAAGTGGAATATACAGCGAGAAGCCTTAAATTGAAAGGAGGCCGGATTTCCTTGGAGTGGCTTGAATACAGGCTCGTCTTTGATCACACAACATGAAAGGATGTCTGAATCCCCTCTGGAGACCTTAGAGAAAGCCCTAGGAGAAGCAACTCAAGAAGAGGCTTCTCTCAGCTATAGGTATGTGGGAGGGACCCCGAGTTTGCTGCCGCAAGAGGAATATACAGCGAGAAGCCCTGACTTGAAATGAGGCCGGATTTCTTTGCAGTGGCTTGAATAGAGGCTCGATTTTCATCTCACAACAGGAAGGGATGTCTGAATCCCCTGTGGAGAACTTAGAGAAAGACCTAGGTCCCTGCCTCATTTTGACGGAAAGCTTCACATCCCGTTGACACCTCAAGAGGCACGCGGAGTTCATTGCTTCAAAAGGTGACGATGCCTGACTCCTCTTGAATACTGATAGGAATCCGAAAATACCTGTGGCTACTGGAAAGGGTCCTTGGGTGCCCTGCCTCACCTCGAGTAGCGTCCATTTTGCCCTGCCAAGCGTCGAAGAGATTCCTGAGGGGTCCCTCGTTACTAGACAGGAGTCCTGACGTCACTGAATAAACACGTGTTTTGAAGGGCCATCCCCGCCGTAATTTGACAACATAACACAGGTCCCCGCGCCAACTCGAGAAAAATCATGAGACTTCCCCCTAGAGGCGAGATGAGGCCCCATTCCCCTGCAGTGCATGGAGAGCTATTCCGTGATCCCCATCAAACAAGTCAGGAGCTTCAACTTGCTTAATGGATCTCGAGACAGTCCCCAAGAACACTGTCACAAGTCTAGGCGGACCCTGAGGTCACCCCAGCAATGCAGAGCAGCTCCATGTGCCCCAAATCAACTCGAGATGAGGCCCAATTCCCCTGCATTCACTCCAAAGCCATCCCCCGTTCGCCATTCAACACCAGCAGTGGCTGGACTTCCTTCATGCAACTCCAGAGCTGCCCCGAGAACACTGTCCCAAGTCTAGAGGAACACCAACTGCAGCACAGAAACTCGAGGAATGCTCCGTGTACCCCAAATCGTCTCGAGATGAGAGCTGATTCCCTGGCTTAGGCTCAAGACGTTTGCCAACTTTACAGAAGCACCTCAAGAGGAGGCTTCTCTCAGCAATAGGTATGTGGGAGGGACCCCGAGTTTGCTGCCTCAAGGGGAATATACAGCGAGAAGCCCTAACTTGAAAGGAGGCCTGGTTTCCTTGCAGTGGCTTGAATACAGGCTCGTCTTTCATCTCACAACAGGAAGGGATGTCTGAATCCCCTGTGGAGACCTTAGAGAAAGCCCTTGGTCCCTGCCTCATTTTGACGGAATGCCTCACATCCCGTTGACACCTCGAGAGGCACGCGGAGTTCACTGCTTCAAAAGGTGACGATGCCTGACTCCTCTTGAATACTGATAGGAATCCCAAAATCCCTGTGGCTACTGGAAAGGGTCCTTGGGTGCACTGCCTCACGTCGAGAAGCGTCCCTTTTGCCCTGCCAAGCCTCAAAGAGATTCCGGAGGTGTCCCTCGTTACTAGCAAGAGTCCTGACGTCACTGAAAAAACACGTGGTTGGAAGGGCCATCGCCGCCGTAACTCGAGAACATACCCCAGGTCCCTGAGGCAACTCGAGAAAAACCATGAGACTTCCCCCTAGAGGCGACATGAGGCCCCATTCCCCTGCAGTGCATGCAGAGCTATTCCGTGATCCACATCCAACAAGTCAGGAGCTTCGACTTGCTTAATGGACCTCGAGACATGCCCCAAGAACACTGTCACAAGTCTAGACGGACCCTGAGGTCACCCCAGCAACGCAAAGCAGCTCCATGTGCCCCAAATAAACTCGAGATGAGGCCCGATTCCACTGCAGTGACTCCAGAGCCATCCCCTTTCCCCATTCAACAACACGAGTGGTTTGACTTCCTTCAGGCAACTCCAGAGATGCCCCGAGAACACTGTCCCAAGTCTAGAGGAACACCAACTTCAGCACAGAAACGCGAGGAATGCTCCGTGTACCCCAAATCGTCTTGAGATGAGAGCTGATTCCCTGGCTTAGGCTCAAGACGTATGCCAACTTTCCAGAGGCACCTCAAATGGAGGCATCTCTCAGCAATAGGTATGTGGGAGGGACCCCGAGTTTGCTGCCTCAAGTGGAATATACAGCGAGAAGCCCTAACTTGAAATGAGGCCGGATTTCCTTGCAGTGGCTTGAATAGAGGCTCGACTTTCATCTCACAACAGGAAGGGATGTCTGAATCCCCTGTGGAGATCTTAGAGAAAGCCCTAGCTCCCTGCCTCATTTTGACGGAATGCCTCACATTCCGTTGACACTTCGAGAGGCACGCGGAGTTCATTGCTTCAAAAGGTGACGATGTCTGACTTCTGTTGAATACTGATAGGAAACCGAAAATCCCTGAGGCTACTGGAAAGGTTCCTTGGGTGCCCTGCCTCACCTCGAGAAGCGTACCTTTTGCCCTGCCAAGCCTCGAAGAGATTCCTGAGGTGTCCCTCGTTAGTAGACAGGAGTCTTAAGGTCACTGAATAAACACGTGTTTTGAAGGGCCATCCCCGCCGTAATTCGAGAACATACCACAGGTCCCCGCGGCAACTCGAGAAAAACCATGAGACTTCCCCCTAGAGGCGAGATGAGGCCCCATTCCCCTGCAGTGCAGGCAGAGCTATTCCGTGATCCCCATCAAACAAGTCAGGAGCTTCGACTTGCTTAATGGATCTCGAGACAGTCCCCACGAACACTTTCACAAGTCTAGGCGGACCCTGAGTTCACCCCAGCAACGCAGAGCAGCTCCATGTGCCCCAAATCAACTCGAGATGAGGCCCGATTCCCCTGCATTGACTCCAGAGCCATTCCCCGTTCCCCATTCAACACGACCGGTGGCTCGACTTCCTTTAGGCAACTCCAGAGATGCCCCGAGAACACTGTCCCAAGGCTAGAGGAACACCAACTTCAGCACATCAACTCGAGGAATGCTCCGTGTACACCAAATCGTCTCGAGATGAGAGCTGATTCCCTGGCTTAGGCTCAATACGTATGCCAACTTTCCAGAACCACCTCAAGAGGAGGCTTCTCTCAGCAATAGGTATGTGGGAGGGACCCTGAGTTTGCTGCCTCAAGGGGAATATACAGCGAGAAGCCTTAACTTGAAAGGAGGCCAGATTTCCTTGCAGTTTCTTGAATACAGGCTCGTCTTTGATCTCAAAATATGGAGGCATGTCTGAATCCCCTGTGGAGACCTTAGAGAAAGACCTAGGTCCCTGCCTCATTTTGACGGAATGCCTCACATCCCGCTGACACCTCGAGAGGCATTCGGAGTTCATTGCTTTAAAAGGTGACGATGCCTGACTCCACTTGAATACTGATAGGAATCCCAAAATCCCTGTGGCTACTGGAAAGGGTCCTTGGGTGCCCTTCCTCACCTCGAGAAGCATTCCTTTTGCCCTGCCAAGCCTCGAAGAGATTACTGAGGTGTCCCTCGTCACTAGACAGAAGTCCTGATGTCACTGAAGAAACTCGTGTTTTGAAGGGCCATCCCGCCGTAAGTCGAGAACATAGCCCAGTTCCCCGCCGCAACTCGAGAAAAACCATGAGACTTCCCCCTAGAGGCGAGATGAGGCCCCATTCCGCTGCAGTGCATGCAGAGCTATTCCGTGATCCCATTCAAACAAGTCAGGAGCTTCGACTTGCTTAATGGATCTCGAGACAGTCCCCAAGAACACTGTCACCAGTCTAGACGGACCCTGAGGTCACCCCAGAAACGCAAAGCAGCTCCATGTTCCCCAAATCAACTCGAGATGAGGCCCGATTCCCCTGCATTGACTCCAGAGCCATTCCCCGTTCCCCATTCAACACGACCGGTGGCTCGACTTCCTTCAGGCAACTCCAGAGATACCCCGAGAACACTGTCCCAAGTCTAGAGGAACACCAACTTCAGCACAGCAACTCGAGGAATGCTCCGTGTACCCCAAATCGTCTCGAGATGAGAGCTAATTCCCTTGCTTAGGCTCAAGACGTATGACAACTTTCCAGAAGCACCTCAGGAGGAGGCTTCTCTCAGCAATAGGTATGTGGGTGGGACCCCGAGATCGCTGCCTCAAGGAGAATATACAGCGAGAAGCCCTAACTTGAAAGGAGGCTGGATTTCCTTGCAGTGGCTTGAATACAGGCTCGTCTTTGATCTCAAAACATGAAGGGATGTGTAAATCCCCTGTGGAGACCTTAGAGAAAGCCCTAGGTCCCTGCCTCATTTTGACGGAATGCCTCACATCCCGCTGACACATCGAGAGTCACGCGCAGTTCATTGCTTCAAAAGGTGACGATGCCTGACTCCTCTTGAATACTGATAGGAATCCCAAAATCCCTGGGGCTACTGGAAAGGGTCCTTGGGTGCCCTGCCTCACCTCGAGAAGTGTCCCTTTTGCCCTGCCAAGCGTCGAATAGATTCCTGAGGTGTCCCTCATTACTAGACTGGAGTCCTGACGTCACTGAAGAATCTCCTGTTTTGAAGGGCCATCCCCGCCGTAAGTCGTGAACATACCCCAGGTCCCCGCCGCAACTCGAGAAACACCATGAGACTTCTCCCTAGAGGCGAGATGAGGCCCCATTCCCCTGCAGTGCATGCAGAGCTATTCCGTAATCCCATTCAAACAAGTCAGGAGCTTCGACTTGCTTAATGGATCTCGAGACAGTCGCCAAGAACACTGTCAACAGTCTAGACGGACCCTGAGGTCAACCCAGCAATGCAAAGCCGCTCCATGTGCCCCAAATCAACTCGAGATGAGGCCCGATTCCCCTGCATTGTCTCCAGAGCCATTCCTCGTTCCCCATTCAACACGAACGGTGGCTCAACTTCCTTCAGGCAACTCCAGAGATGCCCCGAAAACACTGTCCCAAGTCTAGAGGAACACCAACTTCAGCACAGCAACTCGAGGATTGCTCCGTGTACCCCAAATCGTCTCGAGATGAGACCTGATTCCCTGGCTTAGGCTCAAGACGTATGCCAACTTTCCAGAAGCACCTCAGGAGGAGGCTTCTCTCAGCAATAAGTATGTTGGAGGGACCTCGAGATCGCTGCCTCAAGGGGAATATACAGCGAGAAGCCCTAACTTGAAAGGAGACCGGATTTCCGTGCAGTGGCTTGAATACAGGCTGGTCTTTGATCTCAAAACATGAAAGGATGTCTGAATCCCCTGTGGAGTCCTTAGAGAAAGGCCTAGGTCCCTGACTCATTTTGACGGAATGCCTCACATCCCGTTGACACCTCGAGAGGCACGGGGAGTTCATTGCTTCAAAAGGTGACGATGCCTGACTCCTCTTGAATACTGATAGGAATCCCAAAATCCCTGTGGCTACTGGAAAGGGTCCTTGGGTGTCCTGCCTCACCTCGAGAAGCGTCCCTTTTGCCCTGCCTAGGCTGGAAGAGATTCCTGAGGTGTCCCTCGTTACTAGACAGGAGTCCTGACGTCACTGAAAAAACACGTGTTTTGAAGGGCCATCCCCGCCGTAAGTCGAGAACATACCCCAGGTCCCCGCCGCAACTCGAGAAAAACCATGAGACTTCCCCCTAGAGGCGAGATGAGGCCCCATTCCGCTGCAGTGCATGCAGAGCTATTCCGTGATCCCACTCATACAAGTCAGGAGCTTCGACTTGCTTAATGGATCTCGATTCAGTTCCCAAGAACACTGTCACGAGTCTAGACGGACCCTGAGGTCAACCCAGCAACTCAAAGCATCTCCATGTGCCCCAAATCAACTCGAAATGAGACCCGATTCCCCAGCACTGACTCCAGAGTCATTCCCCGTTCCCCATTCAACACGACCTGTGGCTCGACTTCCTTCAGGCAACTCCAGAGATGCCCCGAGAACACTGTCCCAAGTCTAGAGGAACACCAACTTCACCACAGCAACTCGAGGAATGCTCCGTGTACCCCAAATCGTCTGGAGATGAGAGCTGATTCCCTGGCTTAGGCTCAAGACGTATGCCAACGTTCCAGAAGCACCTCATTAGGAGGCTTCTCTCAGCAGTAGGTATGTGGGAGGGACCCCGAGATCGCTGCCTCAAGGTGAATATACAGCGAGAAGCCCTAACTTGAAAGGAGGCCGGATTTCCTTGCAGTGGCTTGAATACAGGCTCGTCTTTGATCTCAAAACATGAAGGGATGTCTGAATCCCCTGTGGAGAACATAGAGAAAGACCTAGGTCCCTGCCTCATTTTGACGGAATGCCTCATATCCCGTTTGTACCTCGAGAGGCACGCGGAGTTCATTGCTTCAAAAGGTGACGATGCCTGACTCCTCTTGAATACTGATAGGAATCCCAAAATCCCTGTGGCTACTGGAAAGGGTCCTTGGGTGCCCTGCCTCACCTCGAGAAGCGTCCCTTTTGCCCTGCCAAACCTCGAAGAGATTCCTGAGGTGTCCCTCGTTACTAGAAAGGAGTCCTGACGTCACTGAATAAACTCGTGTTTGGAAGGGCCATCCCCGCCGTAAGTCGAGAACATACCCCAGGTCCCCGCCGCAACTCGAGAAAAACCATGAGACTTCCCCCTAGAGGCGAGAAGAGGCCTCATTCCCCTGCAGTGCATGCAGAGCTATTCCGTGATCCCATTCAAACAAGTCAGGAGCTTCGATTTGCTTAATGGATCTCGAGACAGTCCCCAAGAACACTGTCACCAGTCTAGACGGAGCCTGAGGTCACCCCAGCAACGCAAAGCAGCTCCATGTGCCCCAAGTCAACTCGAGATGAGGCCCGATTCCCCTGCATTGACTCCAGAGCCATTCCCCGTTCCCCATTCAACATGACCGGTGGCTCGACTTCCTTCAGGCAACTCCAGAGATGCCCCGAGAACACTGTCCCAAGTCTAGAGGAACACCAACTTCAGCACAGCAACTCGAGGAATGCTCCGTGTACCCGAAATCGTCTCGAGATGAGAGCTGATTCCCTGGCTTAGGCTCAAGATGTATGCCAACATTCCAGAAGCACCTCAAGAGGATTCTTCTCTCAGCAATAGTTATGTGGGAAGGACCCCGAGTTTGCTGCCTCAAGCGGAATATACAGCAAGAAGACCTAACTTGAAAGAAGGCCGGATTTCCTTGCAGTGGCTTGAATACAGAGTCGTCTTTGATCTCACAACATGAAGGGATGTCTGAATCCCCTGTGGAGACCTCAGAGAAAGCCCTAGGTCCCTGCCTCATTTTGACGGAATGCCTCACATCCCGTTGACACCTCGAGAGTCACGTGGAGTTCATTGCTTCAAAAGTTGAGGATGCCTGACTCCTCTTGAATACTGATAGGATTCCAAAAATCCCTGTGGCTACTGGAAAGGGTTCTTGCATGCCCTGCCTCACCTCGAGAAGTGTCCCTTTTGCCCTGCCAAGCCTCGAAGAGATTCCTGAGATGTCCCTCGTTACTAGACAGGAGTCCTGACGTCACTGAAGAAACTCGTGTTTGAAGGGCCATCCCCGCCGTAAGTCGAGGACATACCCCAGGTCCCCGCCGCAACTCGAGAAAAACCGTGAGACTTCCCCCTAGAGGCGAGATGAGGCCCCATTCCCCTGCAGTGCATGCAGAGCTATTCCGTGATCCCATTCAAACAAGTCAGGAGCTTCGACTTGCTTAATGGATCTCGAGACAGTCCCCAAGAACACTGTCACCAGTCTAGACGGACCCTGAGGTCACCCCAGCAAGGCAAAGCAGCTCCATGTGCCCCAAATCAACTCGAGATGAGGCCCGATTCCCCTGCATTCACTCCAGAGCCATTCCCCATTCCCATTCAACATGACCGGTGGCTCGACTTCCTTCAGGCAACTCCAGAGATGCCCCGAGAACACTGTCCCAAGTCTAGAGGAACACCAACTTCAGCACAGCAACTCGAGGAATGCTCCGTATACCCCAAATCGTCTCGAGATGAGAGCTGATTCCCTGGTTTTGGCTCAAGACATATGCCAACGTTCCAGAAGCACCTCAGGAGGAGGCTTCTCTCAGCAATAGGTTTGTGGGAGGGACCCCGAGATCGCTGCCCAAGTGGAATATACAGCGAGAAGCCCTAACTTGAAAGGAGGCCGTATTTCCTTGCAGTGGCTTGAATACAGGCTCGTCTTTCATCTCACAACATGAAGGGATGTCTGAATCCCCTGTGGAGACCATAGAGAAAGCCCTCGGTCCCTGCCTCATTTTGACGGAATGCCTCACATCCCGCTGACACCTCGAGAGGCACTCGGAGTTCATTGCTTCAAAAGGTGACGATGCCTGACTCCTCTTGAATACTGATAGGAATCCCAAAATCCCTGTGGCTACTGGAAAGGGTCCTTGGGTGTCCTGCCTCACCTCGAGAAGCGTCCCTTTTGCCCTGCCAAGCCTCGAAGAGATTCCTGAGGTGTCCCTCGTTACTAGACAGGAGTCCTGACGTCACTGAATAAAGACGTGTTTTGAAGGGCCATCCCCGCTGTAAGTCGAGAACATACCCCAGGTCCCCGCCGCAACTCGAGAAAAACCATGAGACTTCCCCCTAGAGGCGAGATGAGGCCCCATTCCCCTGCAGTGCATGTAGAGCTATTCCGTGATCCCATTCAAACAAGTCAGGAGCCTCGACTTGCTTAATGGATCTCGAGACAGTCCCCAAGAACACTGTCACGAGTCTAGACGGACCCTGAGGTCACCCCAGCAACGCAAAGCAGCTCCATGTGCCCCAAATCAACTCGAGATGAGGCCCGATTCCCCTGCATTGACTCCAGAGCCATTCCCCGTTCCCCATTCAACATGATCGGTGGCTCGACTTCCTTCAGGCAACTCCAGAGATGCCCCGAGAACACTGTCCCAAGTCTAGAGGAACACCAACTTCAGCACAGAAACTCGAGGAATGCTCCGTGTACCCCAAATCGTCTCGAGATGAGAGCTGATTCCCTGGCTTAGGCTCAAGATGTATGCCAACTTTCCAGAAGCACCTCAAGAGGATTCTTCTCTCAGCAATAGTTATGTGGGAAGGACCCCGAGTTTGCTGCCTCAAGCGGAATATACAGCAAGAAGACCTAACTTGAAAGAAGGCCGGATTTCCTTGCAGTGGCTTGAATACAGGCTCGTCTTTGATCTGACAACATGAAGGGATGTCTGAATCCCCTGTGGAGACCTTAGAGAAAGCCCTAGGTTCCTGCCTCATTTTGACGGAATTCCTGACATCCCGTTGACACCTCGAGAGACACGCGGAGTTCATTGCTTCAAAAGTTGAGGATGCCTGACTCCTCTTGAATACTGATAGGAATCCCAAAATCCCTGTGGCTACTGGAAAGGGTCCTTGGGTGCCCTGTCTCACCTCGAGAAGCGTCCCTTTTGCTCTGCCAAGCCTCGAAGAGATTCCTGAGGTGTCCCTCATTACTAGACAGTAGTCCTGACGTCACTGAATAAACACGTATTTTGAAGGGCTATGCCCGCCTTAACTCGAGAACATACCCCAGGTCCCTGTCGCAACTCAAGAAAAACCAGAGACTTCCCCCTAGATGCGAGATAAGGCCCCATTCCCCTGCAGTGCATGCAGAGCTATTCCGTGATCCCATTCAAACAAGTCAGGAGCTTCGACTTGCCTAATGGATCTTGAGAGAGTCCCCAAGAAAACTGTCACCAGTCTAGACGGACCCTGAGCTCACCCCAGCAACGCAAAGCAGCTCCATGTGCCCCAAATCAACTCGAGATGAGGCCTGATTCCCCTGCATTGACTCCAGAGCCATTCCCCGTTCCCCATTCAACACGACCGGTGGCTCGACTTTCTTCTGGCAACTCCAGAGATGCCCCGAGAACACTGTCCCAAGTCTAGAGGAACACCAACTTCAGAACAGCAACTCAAGGAATGCTCCGATTACCCCAAATTGTCTCGAGATGAGAGCTGATTCCCTGGCTTAGGCTCAAGTCGTATGCCAACGTTCGAGAATCACCTCAGGAGGAGGCTTCTCTCAGCAATAGGTATGTGGGAGGGACCCCGAGATCGCTGCCTCAAGGGGAATATACAGCGAGAAGCTCTAACTTGAAAGGAGGCCAGATTTCCTTGCAGTGGCTTGAATACAGGCTCGTCTTTGATCTCAAAACATGAAGGGATGTCTGAATCCACTGTGGAGACCTTAGAGAAAGCCCTAGGTCCCTGCCTCATTTTGACGGAATGCCTCACATCCCGTTGAAACCTCGAGAGGCAGGCGGAGTTCATTTCTTCAAAAGGTGACGATGCCTGACTCCTCTTGAATACTGATAGGAAACCCAAAATCACTGTGGCTACTGGAAAGGGTCCTTGGGTGCCCTGCCTCACCTCGAGAAGCGTCCCTTTTGCCCTGCCAAGCCTCGAAGAGATTCCTGAGGTGTCCCTCGTTACTAGACAGGAGTCCTGACATCACTGAATAAACACGTGTTTTGAAGGGCCATTCCCGCTGTATGTCGAGAACATAACCCAGGTCCCTGCCGCAACTCGAGAAAAACCATGAGACTTCTCCGTAGAGGCGAGATGAGGCCCCATTCCCCTGCAGTGCATGCAGAGCTATTCTGTAATCCCATTCAAACAAGTGAGGAGCTTCGACTTGCTTAATGGATCTCGAGACAGTCCCCAAGAACACTGTCACCAGTCTAGACAGACCCTAAGATCATCCCAGCAACGCAAAGCAGCTCCATGTGCCCCAAATCAACTCGAGATGAGGCCCGATTCCCCTGCATTGACTCCAGAGCCATTCCCCGTTCCCCATTCAACACGAACGGTGTCTCGACTTCCTTTAGGCAACTCCAGAGATGCCCCGAGAACACTCTCCAAAGTCTAGACGAACAGCAACTTCAGCACAGCAACTCGAGGAATGCTCCGTTTACCCCAAGTCGTCTCGAGATGAGAGCTGATTCCCTGGCTTAGGCTCAAGACGTATGCCAACTTTCCATAAGCACCTCAGGAGGAGGCTTCTCTCAGCAATAGGTATGTGGGAGGGACCGCCAGATCGCTGCCTCAAGTGGAATATACAGCGAGAAGCCTTAAATTGAAAGGAGGCCGGATTTCCTTGGAGTGGCTTGAATACAGGCTCGTCTTTGATCACACAACATGAAAGGATGTCTGAATCCCCTCTGGAGACCTTAGAGAAAGCCCTAGGAGAAGCAACTCAAGAAGAGGCTTCTCTCAGCTATAGGTATGTGGGAGGGACCCCGAGTTTGCTGCCGCAAGAGGAATATACAGCGAGAAGCCCTGACTTGAAATGAGGCCGGATTTCTTTGCAGTGGCTTGAATAGAGGCTCGATTTTCATCTCACAACAGGAAGGGATGTCTGAATCCCCTGTGGAGAACTTAGAGAAAGCCCTAGGTCCCTGCCTCATTTTGACGGAAAGCTTCACATCCCGTTGACACCTCAAGAGGCACGCGGAGTTCATTGCTTCAAAAGGTGACGATGCCTGACTCCTCTTGAATACTGATAGGAATCCGAAAATACCTGTGGCTACTGGAAAGGGTCCTTGGGTGCCCTGCCTCACCTCGAGTAGCGTCCATTTTGCCCTGCCAAGCGTCGAAGAGATTCCTGAGGGGTCCCTCGTTACTAGACAGGAGTCCTGACGTCACTGAATAAACACGTGTTTTGAAGGGCCATCCCCGCCGTAATTTGACAACATAACACAGGTCCCCGCGCCAACTCGAGAAAAACCATGAGACTTCCCCCTAGAGGCGAGATGAGGCCCCATTCCCCTGCAGTGCATGGAGAGCTATTCCGTGATCCCCATCAAACAAGTCAGGAGCTTCAACTTGCTTAATGGATCTCGAGACAGTCCCCAAGAACACTGTCACAAGTCTAGGCGGACCCTGAGGTCACCCCAGCAATGCAGAGCAGCTCCATGTGCCCCAAATCAACTCGAGATGAGGCCCGATTCCCCTGCATTCACTCCAAAGCCATCCCCCGTTCGCCATTCAACACCAGCAGTGGCTGGACTTCCTTCATGCAACTCCAGAGCTGCCCCGAGAACACTGTCCCAAGTCTAGAGGAACACCAACTGCAGCACAGAAACTCGAGGAATGCTCCGTGTACCCCAAATCGTCTCGAGATGAGAGCTGATTCCCTGGCTTAGGCTCAAGACGTTTGCCAACTTTACAGAAGCACCTCAAGAGGAGGCTTCTCTCAGCAATAGGTATGTGGGAGGGACCCCGAGTTTGCTGCCTCAAGGGGAATATACAGCGAGAAGCCCTAACTTGAAAGGAGGCCTGGTTTCCTTGCAGTGGCTTGAATACAGGCTCGTCTTTCATCTCACAACAGGAAGGGATGTCTGAATCCCCTGTGGAGACCTTAGAGAAAGCCCTTGGTCCCTGCCTCATTTTGACGGAATGCCTCACATCCCGTTGACACCTCGAGAGGCACGCGGAGTTCACTGCTTCAAAAGGTGACGATGCCTGACTCCTCTTGAATACTGATAGGAATCCCAAAATCCCTGTGGCTACTGGAAAGGGTCCTTGGGTGCACTGCCTCACGTCGAGAAGCATCCCTTTTGCCCTGCCAAGCCTCAAAGAGATTCCGGAGGTGTCCCTCGTTACTAGCAAGAGTCCTGACGTCACTGAAAAAACACGTGGTTGGAAGGGCCATCGCCGCCGTAACTCGAGAACATACCCCAGGTCCCTGAGGCAACTCGAGAAAAACCATGAGACTTCCCCCTAGAGGCGACATGAGGCCCCATTCCCCTGCAGTGCATGCAGAGCTATTCCGTGATCCACATCCAACAAGTCAGGAGCTTCGACTTGCTTAATGGACCTCGAGACATGCCCCAAGAACACTGTCACAAGTCTAGACGGACCCTGAGGTCACCCCAGCAACGCAAAGCAGCTCCATGTGCCCCAAATAAACTCGAGATGAGGCCCGATTCCACTGCAGTGACTCCAGAGCCATCCCCTTTCCCCATTCAACAACACGAGTGGTTTGACTTCCTTCAGGCAACTCCAGAGATGCCCCGAGAACACTGTCCCAAGTCTAGAGGAACACCAACTTCAGCACAGAAACGCGAGGAATGCTCCGTGTACCCCAAATCGTCTTGAGATGAGAGCTGATTCCCTGGCTTAGGCTCAAGACGTATGCCAACTTTCCAGAGGCACCTCAAATGGAGGCATCTCTCAGCAATAGGTATGTGGGAGGGACCCCGAGTTTGCTGCCTCAAGTGGAATATACAGCGAGAAGCCCTAACTTGAAATGAGGCCGGATTTCCTTGCAGTGGCTTGAATAGAGGCTCGACTTTCATCTCACAACAGGAAGGGATGTCTGAATCCCCTGTGGAGACCTTAGAGAAAGCCCTAGGTCCCTGCCTCATTTTGACGGAATGCCTCACATTCCGTTGACACTTCGAGAGGCACGCGGAGTTCATTGCTTCAAAAGGTGACGATGTCTGACTTCTGTTGAATACTGATAGGAAACCGAAAATCCCTGAGGCTACTGGAAAGGTTCCTTGGGTGCCCTGCCTCACCTCGAGAAGCGTACCTTTTGCCCTGCCAAGCCTCGAAGAGATTCCTGAGGTGTCCCTCGTTAGTAGACAGGAGTCTTAAGGTCACTGAATAAACACGTGTTTTGAAGGGCCATCCCCACCGTAATTCGAGAACATACCACAGGTTCCCGCGGCAACTCGAGAAAAACCATGAGACTTCCCCCTAGAGGCGAGATGAGGCCCCATTCCCCTGCAGTGCAGGCAGAGCTATTCCGTGATCCCCATCAAACAAGTCAGGAGCTTCGACTTGCTTAATGGATCTCGAGACAGTCCCCACGAACACTTTCACAAGTCTAGGCGGACCCTGAGTTCACCCCAGCAACGCAGAGCAGCTCCATGTGCCCCAAATCAACTCGAGATGAGGCCCGATTCCCCTGCATTGACTCCAGAGCCATTCCCCGTTCCCCATTCAACACGACCGGTGGCTCGACTTCCTTTAGGCAACTCCAGAGATGCCCCGAGAACACTGTCCCAAGGCTAGAGGAACACCAACTTCAGCACATCAACTCGAGGAATGCTCCGTGTACACCAAATCGTCTCGAGATGAGAGCTGATTCCCTGGCTTAGGCTCAATACGTATGCCAACTTTCCAGAACCACCTCAAGAGGAGGCTTCTCTCAGCAATAGGTATGTGGGAGGGACCCTGAGTTTGCTGCCTCAAGGGGAATATACAGCGAGAAGCCTTAACTTGAAAGGAGGCCAGATTTCCTTGCAGTGGCTTGAATACAGGGTCGTCTTTGATCTCAAAATATGGAGGCATGTCTGAATCCCCTGTGGAGACCTTAGAGAAAGACCTAGGTCCCTGCCTCATTTTGACGGAATGCCTCACATCCCGCTGACACCTCGAGAGGCATTCGGAGTTCATTGCTTTAAAAGGTGACGATGCCTGACTCCACTTGAATACTGATAGGAATCCCAAAATCCCTGTGGCTACTGGAAAGGGTCCTTGGGTGCCCTTCCTCACCTCGAGAAGCATTCCTTTTGCCCTGCCAAGCCTCGAAGAGATTACTGAGGTGTCCCTCGTCACTAGACAGAAGTCCTGATGTCACTGAAGAAACTCGTGTTTTGAAGGGCCATCCCGCCGTAAGTCGAGAACATAGCCCAGTTCCCCGCCGCAACTCGAGAAAAACCATGAGACTTCCCCCTAGAGGCGAGATGAGGCCCCATTCCGCTGCAGTGCATGCAGAGCTATTCCGTGATCCCATTCAAACAAGTCAGGAGCTTCGACTTGCTTAATGGATCTCGAGACAGTCCCCAAGAACACTGTCACCAGTCTAGACGGACCCTGAGGTCACCCCAGAAACGCAAAGCAGCTCCATGTTCCCCAAATCAACTCGAGATGAGGCCCGATTCCCCTGCATTGACTCCAGAGCCATTCCCCGTTCCCCATTCAACACGACCGGTGGCTCGACTTCCTTCAGGCAACTCCAGAGATACCCCGAGAACACTGTCCCAAGTCTAGAGGAACACCAACTTCAGCACAGCAACTCGAGGAATGCTCCGTGTACCCCAAATCGTCTCGAGATGAGAGCTGATTCCCTTGCTTAGGCTCAAGACGTATGACAACTTTCCAGAAGCACCTCAGGAGGAGGCTTCTCTCAGCAATAGGTATGTGGGTGGGACCCCGAGATCGCTGCCTCAAGGAGAATATACAGCGAGAAGCCCTAACTTGAAAGGAGGCTGGATTTCCTTGCAGTGGCTTGAATACAGGCTCGTCTTTGATCTCAAAACATGAAGGGATGTGTAAATCCCCTGTGGAGACCTTAGAGAAAGCCCTAGGTCCCTGCCTCATTTTGACGGAATGCCTCACATCCCGCTGACACATCGAGAGGCACGCGCAGTTCATTGCTTCAAAAGGTGACGATGCCTGACTCCTCTTGAATACTGATAGGAATCCCAAAATCCCTGGGGCTACTGGAAAGGGTCCTTGGGTGCCCTGCCTCACCTCGAGAAGTGTCCCTTTTGCCCTGCCAAGCCTCGAATAGATTCCTGAGGTGTCCCTCATTACTAGACTGGAGTCCTGACGTCACTGAAGAATCTCCTGTTTTGAAGGGCCATCCCCGCCGTAAGTCGTGAACAAACCCCAGGTCCCCGCCGCAACTCGAGAAACACCATGAGACTTCTCCCTAGAGGCGAGATGAGGCCCCATTCCCCTGCAGTGCATGCAGAGCTATTCCCAAATCCCATTCAAACAAGTCAGGAGCTTCGACTTGCTTAATGGATCTCGAGACAGTCGCCAAGAACACTGTCAACAGTCTAGACGGACCCTGAGGTCAACCCAGCAATGCAAAGCCGCTCCATGTGCCCCAAATCAACTCGAGATGAGGCCCGATTCCCCTGCATTGTCTCCAGAGCCATTCCTCGTTCCCCATTCAACACGAACGGTGGCTCAACTTCCTTCAGGCAACTCCAGAGATGCCCCGAAAACACTGTCCCAAGTCTAGAGGAACACCAACTTCAGCACAGCAACTCGAGGATTGCTCCGTGTACCCCAAATCGTCTCGAGATGAGACCTGATTCCCTGGCTTAGGCTCAAGACGTATGCCAACTTTCCAGAAGCACCTCAGGAGGAGGCTTCTCTCAGCAATAAGTATGTTGGAGGGAACTCGAGATCGCTGCCTCAAGGGGAATATACAGCGAGAAGCCCTAACTTGAAAGGAGACCGGATTTCCGTGCAGTGGCTTGAATACAGGCTGGTCTTTGATCTCAAAACATGAAAGGATGTCTGAATCCCCTGTGGAGTCCTTAGAGAAAGGCCTAGGTCCCTGACTCATTTTGACGGAATGCCTCACATCCCGTTGACACCTCGAGAGGCACGCGGAGTTCATTGCTTCAAAAGGTGACGATGCCTGACTCCTCTTGAATACTGATAGGAATCCCAAAATCCCTGTGGCTACTGGAAAGGGTCCTTGGGTGTCCTGCCTCACCTCGAGAAGCGTCCCTTTTGCCCTGCCTAGGCTGGAAGAGATTCCTGAGGTGTCCCTCGTTACTAGACAGGAGTCCTGACGTCACTGAAAAAACACGTGTTTTGAAGGGCCATCCCCGCCGTAAGTCGAGAACATACCCCAGGTCCCCGCCGCAACTCGAGAAAAACCATGAGACTTCCCCCTAGAGGCGAGATGAGGCCCCATTCTGCTGCAGTGCATGCAGAGCTATTCCGTGATCCCACTCATACAAGTCAGGAGCTTCGACTTGCTTAATGGATCTCGATTCAGTTCCCAAGAACACTGTCACGAGTCTAGACGGACCCTGAGGTCAACCCAGCAACTCAAAGCATCTCCATGTGCCCCAAATCAACTCGAGATGAGACCCGATTCCCCAGCACTGACTCCAGAGCCATTCCCCGTTCCCCATTCAACACGACCTGTGGCTCGACTTCCTTCAGGCAACTCCAGAGATGCCCCGAGAACACTGTCCCAAGTCTAGAGGAACACCAACTTCACCACAGCAACTCGAGGAATGCTCCGTGTACCCCAAATCGTCTGGAGATGAGAGCTGATTCCCTGGCTTAGGCTCAAGACGTATGCCAACGTTCCAGAAGCACCTCATTAGGAGGCTTCTCTCAGCAGTAGGTATGTGGGAGGGACACCGAGATCGCTGCCTCAAGGTGAATATACAGCGAGAAGCCCTAACTTGAAAGGAGGCCGGATTTCCTTGCAGTGGCTTGAATACAGGCTCGTCTTTGATCTCAAAACATGAAGGGATGTCTGAATCCCCTGTGGAGAACATAGAGAAAGACCTAGGTCCCTGCCTCATTTTGACGGAATGCCTCATATCCCGTTGGTACCTCGAGAGGCATGCGGAGTTCATTGCTTCAAAAGGTGACGATGCCTGACTCCTCTTGAATACTGATAGGAATCCCAAAATCCCTGTGGCTACTGGAAAGGGTCCTTGGGTGCCCTGCCTCACCTCGAGAAGCGTCCCTTTTGCCCTGCCAAACCTCGAAGAGATTCCTGAGGTGTCCCTCGTTACTAGAAAGGAGTCCTGACGTCACTGAATAAACTCGTGTTTGGAAGGGCCATCCCCGCCGTAAGTCGAGAACATACCCCAGGTCCCCGCCGCAACTCGAGAAAAACCATGAGACTTCCCCCTAGAGGCGAGAAGAGGCCTCATTCCCCTGCAGTGCATGCAGAGCTATTCCGTGATCCCATTCAAACAAGTCAGGAGCTTCGATTTGCTTAATGGATCTCGAGACAGTCCCCAAGAACACTGTCACCAGTCTAGACGGACCCTGAGGTCACCCCAGCAACGCAAAGCAGCTCCATGTGCCCCAAATCAACTCGAGATGAGGCCCGATTCCCCTGCATTGACTCCAGAGCCATTCCCCGTTCCCCATTCAACATGACCGGTTGCTCGACTTCCTTCAGTCAACTCCAGAGATGCCCCGAGAACACTGTCCCAAGTCTAGAGGAACACCAACTTCAGCACAGCAACTCGAGGAATGCTCCGTGTACCCGAAATCGTCTCGAGATGAGAGCTGATTCCCTGGCTTAGGCTCAAGATGTATGCCAACATTCCAGAAGCACCTCAAGAGGATTCTTCTCTCAGCAATAGTTATGTGGGAAGGACCCCGAGTTTGCTGCCTCAAGCGGAATATACAGCAAGAAGACCTAACTTGAAAGAAGGTCGGATTTCCTTGCAGTGGCTTGAATACAGAGTCGTCTTTGATCTCACAACATGAAGGGATGTCTGAATCCCCTGTGGAGACCTCAGAGAAAGCCCTAGGTCCCTGCCTCATTTTGACGGAATGCCTCACATCCCGTTGACACCTCGAGAGTCACGTGGAGTTCATTGCTTCAAAAGGTGAGGAGGCCTGACTCCTCTTGAATACTGATAGGATTCCAAAAATCCCTGTGGCTACTGGAAAGGGTTCTTGCATGCCCTGCCTCACCTCGAGAAGTGTCCCTTTTGCCCTGCCAAGCCTCGAAGAGATTCCTGAGATGTCCCTCGTTACTAGACAGGAGTCCTGACGTCACTGAAGAAACTCGTGTTTGAAGGGCCATCCCCGCCGTAAGTCGAGGACATACCCCAGGTCCCCGCCGCAACTCGAGAAAAACCGTGAGACTTCCCCCTAGAGGCGAGATGAGGCCCCATTCCCCTGCAGTGCATGCAGAGCTATTCCGTGATCCCATTCAAACAAGTCAGGAGCTTCGACTTGCTTAATGGATCTCGAGACAGTCCCCAAGAACACTGTCACCAGTCTAGACGGACCCTGAGGTCACCCCAGCAACGCAAAGCAGCTCCATGTGCCCCAAATCAACTCGAGATGAGGCCCGATTCCCCTGCATTCACTCCAGAGCCATTCCCCATTCCCATTCAACATGACCGGTGGCTCGACTTCCTTCAGGCAACTCCAGAGATGCCCCGAGAACACTGTCCCAAGTCTAGAGGAACACCAACTTCAGCACAGCAACTCGAGGAATGCTCCGTATACCCCAAATCGTCTCGAGATGAGAGCTGATTCCCTGGTTTTGGCTCAAGACATATGCCAACGTTCCAGAAGCACCTCAGGAGGAGGCTTCTCTCAGCAATAGGTTTGTGGGAGGGACCCCGAGATCGCTGCCCAAGTGGAATATACAGCGAGAAGCCCTAACTTGAAAGGAGGCCGTATTTCCTTGCAGTGGCTTGAATACAGGCTCGTCTTTCATCTCACAACATGAAGGGATGTCTGAATCCCCTGTGGAGACCATAGAGAAAGCCCTAGGTCCCTGCCTCATTTTGACGGAATGCCTCACATCCCGCTGACACCTCGAGAGGCACTCGGAGTTCATTGCTTCAAAAGGTGACGATGCCTGACTCCTCTTGAATACTGATAGGAATCCCAAAATCCCTGTGGCTACTGGAAAGGGTCCTTGGGTGTCCTGCCTCACCTCGAGAAGCGTCCCTTTTGCCCTGCCAAGCCTCGAAGAGATTCCTGAGGTGTCCCTCGTTACTAGACAGGAGTCCTGACGTCACTGAAGAAACTCGTGTTTTGAAGGGCCATCCCCGCTGTAAGTCGAGAACATACCCCAGGTCCCCGCCACAACTCGAGAAAAACCATGAGACTTCCCCCTAGAGGCGAGAAGAGGCCTCATTCCCCTGCAGTGCATGCAGAGCTATTCCGTGATCCCATTCAAACAAGTCAGGAGCTTCGACTTGCTTAATGGATCTCGAGACAGTCCCCAAGAACACTGTCACGAGTCTAGACGGACCCTGAGGTCACCCCAGCAACGCAAAGCAGCTCCATGTGCCCCAAATCAACTCGAGATGAGGCCCGATTCCCCTGCATTGACTCCAGAGCCATTCCCCGTTCCCCATTCAACATGATCGGTGGCTCGACTTCCTTCAGGCAACTCCAGAGATGCCCCGAGAACACTGTCCCAAGTCTAGAGGAACACCAACTTCAGCACAGAAACTCGAGGAATGCTCCGTGTACCCCAAATCGTCTCGAGATGAGAGCTGATTCCCTGGCTTAGGCTCAAGATGTATGCCAACTTTCCAGAAGCACCTCAAGAGGATTCTTCTCTCAGCAATAGTTATGTGGGAAGGACCCCGAGTTTGCTGCCTCAAGCGGAATATACAGCAAGAAGACCTAACTTGAAAGAAGGCCGGATTTCCTTGCAGTGGCTTGAATACAGGCTCGTCTTTGATCTCAAAACATGAAGGGATGTCTGAATCCCCTGTGGAGACTTTAGAGAAAGCCCTAGGTCCCTGCCTCATTTTGACGGAATTCCTGACATCCCGTTGACACCTCGAGAGGCACGCGGAGTTCATTGCTTCAAAAGTTGAGGATGCCTGACTCCTCTTGAATACTGATAGGAATCCCAAAATCCCTGTGGCTACTGGAAAGGGTCCTTGGGTGCCCTGTCTCACCTCGAGAAGCGTCCCTTTTGCTCTGCCAAGCCTCGAAGAGATTCCTGAGGTGTCCCTCATTACTAGACAGTAGTCCTGACGTCACTGAATAAACACGTATTTTGAAGGGCTATGCCAGCCTTAACTCGAGAACATACCCCAGGTCCCTGTCGCAACTCAAGAAAAACCAGAGACTTCCCCCTAGATGCGAGATAAGGCCCCATTCCCCTGCAGTGCATGCAGAGCTATTCCGTGATCCCATTCAAACAAGTCAGGAGCTTCGACTTGCCTAATGGATCTTGAGAGAGTCCCCAAGAAAACTGTCACCAGTCTAGACGGACCCTGAGCTCACCCCAGCAACGCAAAGCAGCTCCATGTGCCCCAAATCAACTCGAGATGAGGCCTGATTCCCCTGCATTGACTCCAGAGCCATTCCCCGTTCCCCATTCAACACGACCGGTGGCTCGACTTTCTTCTGGCAACTCCAGAGATGCCCCGAGAACACTGTCCCAAGTCTAGAGGAACACCAACTTCAGAACAGCAACTCAAGGAATGCTCCGATTACCCCAAATTGTCTCGAGATGAGAGCTGATTCCCTGGCTTAGGCTCAAGTCGTATGCCAACGTTCGAGAATCACCTCAGGAGGAGGCTTCTCTCAGCAATAGGTATGTGGGAGGGACCCCGAGATCGCTGCCTCAAGGGGAATATACAGCGAGAAGCTCTAACTTGAAAGGAGGCCAGATTTCCTTGCAGTGGCTTGAATACAGGCTCGTCTTTGATCTCAAAACATGAAGGGATGTCTGAATCCACTGTGGAGACCTTAGAGAAAGCCCTAGGTCCCTGCCTCATTTTGACGGAATGCCTCACATCCCGTTGAAACCTCGAGAGGCAGGCGGAGTTCATTTCTTCAAAAGGTGACGATGCCTGACTCCTCTTGAATACTGATAGGAAACCCAAAATCACTGTGGCTACTGGAAAGGGTCCTTGGGTGCCCTGCCTCACCTCGAGAAGCGTCCCTTTTGCCCTGCCAAGCCTCGAAGAGATTCCTGAGGTGTCCCTCGTTACTAGACAGGAGTCCTGACATCACTGAATAAACACGTGTTTTGAAGGGCCATTCCCGCTGTATGTCGAGAACATAACCCAGGTCCCTGCCGCAACTCGAGAAAAACCATGAGACTTCTCCGTAGAGGCGAGATGAGGCCCCATTCCCCTGCAGTGCATGCAGAGCTATTCTGTAATCCCATTCAAACAAGTGAGGAGCTTCGACTTGCTTAATGGATCTCGAGACAGTCCCCAAGAACACTGTCACCAGTCTAGACAGACCCTAAGATCATCCCAGCAACGCAAAGCAGCTCCATGTGCCCCAAATCAACTCGAGATGAGGCCCGATTCCCCTGCATTGACTCCAGAGCCATTCCCCGTTCCCCATTCAACACGAACGGTGTCTCGACTTCCTTTAGGCAACTCCAGAGATGCCCCGAGAACACTCTCCAAAGTCTAGACGAACAGCAACTTCAGCACAGCAACTCGAGGAATGCTCCGTTTACCCCAAGTCGTCTCGAGATGAGAGCTGATTCCCTGGCTTAGGCTCAAGACGTATGCCAACTTTCCATAAGCACCTCAGGAGGAGGCTTCTCTCAGCAATAGGTATGTGGGAGGGACCGCCAGATCGCTGCTCAAGTGGAATATACAGCGAGAAGCCTTAAATTGAAAGGAGGCCGGATTTCCTTGGAGTGGCTTGAATACAGGCTCGTCTTTGATCACACAACATGAAAGGATGTCTGAATCCCCTCTGGAGACCTTAGAGAAAGCCCTAGGAGAAGCAACTCAAGAAGAGGCTTCTCTCAGCTATAGGTATGTGGGAGGGACCCCGAGTTTGCTGCCGCAAGAGGAATATACAGCGAGAAGCCCTGACTTGAAATGAGGCCGGATTTCTTTGCAGTGGCTTGAATAGAGGCTCGATTTTCATCTCACAACAGGAAGGGATGTCTGAATCCCCTGTGGAGAACTTAGAGAAAGCCCTAGGTCCCTGCCTCATTTTGACGGAAAGCTTCACATCCCGTTGACACCTCAAGAGGCACGCGGAGTTCATTGCTTCAAAAGGTGACGATGCCTGACTCCTCTTGAATACTGATAGGAATCCGAAAATACCTGTGGCTACTGGAAAGGGTCCTTGGGTGCCCTGCCTCACCTCGAGTAGCGTCCATTTTGCCCTGCCAAGCGTCGAAGAGATTCCTGAGGGGTCCCTCGTTACTAGACAGGAGTCCTGACGTCACTGAATAAACACGTGTTTTGAAGGGCCATCCCCGCCGTAATTTGACAACATAACACAGGTCCCCGCGCCAACTCGAGAAAAACCATGAGACTTCCCCCTAGAGGCGAGATGAGGCCCCATTCCCCTGCAGTGCATGGAGAGCTATTCCGTGATCCCCATCAAACAAGTCAGGAGCTTCAACTTGCTTAATGGATCTCGAGACAGTCCCCAAGAACACTGTCACAAGTCTAGGCGGACCCTGAGGTCACCCCAGCAATGCAGAGCAGCTCCATGTGCCCCAAATCAACTCGAGATGAGGCCCGATTCCCCTGCATTCACTCCAAAGCCATCCCCCGTTCGCCATTCAACACCAGCAGTGGCTGGACTTCCTTCATGCAACTCCAGAGCTGCCCCGAGAACACTGTCCCAAGTCTAGAGGAACACCAACTGCAGCACAGAAACTCGAGGAATGCTCCGTGTACCCCAAATCGTCTCGAGATGAGAGCTGATTCCCTGGCTTAGGCTCAAGACGTTTGCCAACTTTACAGAAGCACCTCAAGAGGAGGCTTCTCTCAGCAATAGGTATGTGGGAGGGACCCCGAGTTTGCTGCCTCAAGGGGAATATACAGCGAGAAGCCCTAACTTGAAAGGAGGCCTGGTTTCCTTGCAGTGGCTTGAATACAGGCTCGTCTTTCATCTCACAACATGAAGGGATGTCTGAATCCCCTGTGGAGACCATAGAGAAAGCCCTTGGTCCCTGCCTCATTTTGACGGAATGCCTCACATCCCGTTGACACCTCGAGAGGCACGCGGAGTTCACTGCTTCAAAAGGTGACGATGCCTGACTCCTCTTGAATACTGATAGGAATCCCAAAATCCCTGTGGCTACTGGAAAGGGTCCTTGGGTGCACTGCCTCACGTCGAGAAGCGTCCCTTTTGCCCTGCCAAGCCTCAAAGAGATTCCGGAGGTGTCCCTCGTTACTAGCAAGAGTCCTGACGTCACTGAAAAAACACGTGGTTGGAAGGGCCATCGCCGCCGTAACTCGAGAACATACCCCAGGTCCCTGAGGCAACTCGAGAAAAACCATGAGACTTCCCCCTAGAGGCGACATGAGGCCCCATTCCCCTGCAGTGCATGCAGAGCTATTCCGTGATCCACATCCAACAAGTCAGGAGCTTCGACTTGCTTAATGGACCTCGAGACATGCCCCAAGAACACTGTCACAAGTCTAGACGGACCCTGAGGTCACCCCAGCAACGCAAAGCAGCTCCATGTGCCCCAAATAAACTCGAGATGAGGCCCGATTCCACTGCAGTGACTCCAGAGCCATCCCCTTTCCCCATTCAACAACACGAGTGGTTTGACTTCCTTCAGGCAACTCCAGAGATGCCCCGAGAACACTGTCCCAAGTCTAGAGGAACACCAACTTCAGCACAGAAACGCGAGGAATGCTCCGTGTACCCCAAATCGTCTTGAGATGAGAGCTGATTCCCTGGCTTAGGCTCAAGACGTATGCCAACTTTCCAGAGGCACCTCAAATGGAGGCATCTCTCAGCAATAGGTATGTGGGAGGGACCCCGAGTTTGCTGCCTCAAGTGGAATATACAGCGAGAAGCCCTAACTTGAAATGAGGCCGGATTTCCTTGCAGTGGCTTGAATAGAGGCTCGACTTTCATCTCACAACAGGAAGGGATGTCTGAATCCCCTGTGGAGACCTTAGAGAAAGCCCTAGGTCCCTGCCTCATTTTGACGGAATGCCTCACATTCCTTTGACACTTCGAGAGGCACGCGGAGTTCATTGCTTCAAAAGGTGACGATGTCTGACTTCTGTTGAATACTGATAGGAAACCGAAAATCCCTGAGGCTACTGGAAAGGTTCCTTGGGTGCCCTGCCTCACCTCGAGAAGCGTACCTTTTGCCCTGCCAAGCCTCGAAGAGATTCCTGAGGTGTCCCTCGTTAGTAGACAGGAGTCTTAAGGTCACTGAATAAACACGTGTTTTGAAGGGCCATCCCCGCCGTAATTCGAGAACATACCACAGGTCCCCGCGGCAACTCGAGAAAAACCATGAGACTTCCCCCTAGAGGCGAGATGAGGCCCCATTCCCCTGCAGTGCAGGCAGAGCTATTCCGTGATCCCCATCAAACAAGTCAGGAGCTTCGACTTGCTTAATGGATCTCGAGACAGTCCCCACGAACACTTTCACAAGTCTAGGCGGACCCTGAGTTCACCCCAGCAACGCAGAGCAGCTCCATGTGCCCCAAATCAACTCGAGATGAGGCCCGATTCCCCTGCATTGACTCCAGAGCCATTCCCCGTTCCCCATTCAACACGACCGGTGGCTCAACTTCCTTTAGGCAACTCCAGAGATGCCCCGAGAACACTGTCCCAAGGCTAGAGGAACACCAACTTCAGCACATCAACTCGAGGAATGCTCCGTGTACACCAAATCGTCTCGAGATGAGAGCTGATTCCCTGGCTTAGGCTCAATACGTATGCCAACTTTCCAGAACCACCTCAAGAGGAGGCTTCTCTCAGCAATAGGTATGTGGGAGGGACCCTGAGTTTGCTGCCTCAAGGGGAATATACAGCGAGAAGCCTTAACTTGAAAGGAGGCCAGATTTCCTTGCAGTGGCTTGAATACAGGCTCGTCTTTGATCTCAAAATATGGAGGCATGTCTGAATCCCCTGTGGAGACCTTAGAGAAAGACCTAGGTCCCTGCCTCATTTTGACGGAATGCCTCACATCCCGCTGACACCTCGAGAGGCATTCGGAGTTCATTGCTTTAAAAGGTGACGATGCCTGACTCCACTTGAATACTGATAGGAATCCCAAAATCCCTGTGGCTACTGGAAAGGGTCCTTGGGTGCCCTTCCTCACCTCGAGAAGCATTCCTTTTGCCCTGCCAAGCCTCGAAGAGATTACTGAGGTGTCCCTCGTCACTAGACAGAAGTCCTGATGTCACTGAAGAAACTCGTGTTTTGAAGGGCCATCCCGCCGTAAGTCGAGAACATAGCCCAGTTCCCCGCCGCAACTCGAGAAAAACCATGAGACTTCCCCCTAGAGGCGAGATGAGGCCCCATTCCGCTGCAGTGCATGCAGAGCTATTCCGTGATCCCATTCAAACAAGTCAGGAGCTTCGACTTGCTTAATGGATCTCGAGACAGTCCCCAAGAACACTGTCACCAGTCTAGACGGACCCTGAGGTCACCCCAGAAACGCAAAGCAGCTCCATGTTCCCCAAATCAACTCGAGATGAGGCCCGATTCCCCTGCATTGACTCCAGAGCCATTCCCCGTTCCCCATTCAACACGACCGGTGGCTCGACTTCCTTCAGGCAACTCCAGAGATACCCCGAGAACACTGTCCCAAGTCTAGAGGAACACCAACTTCAGCACAGCAACTCGAGGAATGCTCCGTGTACCCCAAATCGTCTCGAGATGAGAGCTAATTCCCTTGCTTAGGCTCAAGACGTATGACAACTTTCCAGAAGCACCTCAGGAGGAGGCTTCTCTCAGCAATAGGTATGTGGGTGGGACCCCGAGATCGCTGCCTCAAGGAGAATATACAGCGAGAAGCCCTAACTTGAAAGGAGGCTGGATTTCCTTGCAGTGGCTTGAATACAGGCTCGTCTTTGATCTCAAAACATGAAAGGATGTGTAAATCCCCTGTGGAGACCTTAGAGAAAGCCCTAGGTCCCTGCCTCATTTTGACGGAATGCCTCACATCCCGCTGACACATCGAGAGTCACGCGCAGTTCATTGCTTCAAAAGGTGACGATGCCTGACTCCTCTTGAATACTGATAGGAATCCCAAAATCCCTGGGGCTACTGGAAAGGGTCCTTGGGTGCCCTGCCTCACCTCGAGAAGTTTCCCTTTTGCCCTGCCAAGCGTCGAATAGATTCCTGAGGTGTCCCTCATTACTAGACTGGAGTCCTGACGTCACTGAAGAATCTCCTGTTTTGAAGGGCCATCCCCGCCGTAAGTCGTGAACATACCCCAGGTCCCCGCCGCAACTCGAGAAACACCATGAGACTTCTCCCTAGAGGCGAGATGAGGCCCCATTCCCCTGCAGTGCATGCAGAGCTATTCCGTAATCCCATTCAAACAAGTCAGGAGCTTCGACTTGCTTAATGGATCTCGAGACAGTCGCCAAGAACACTGTCAACAGTCTAGACGGACCCTGAGGTCAACCCAGCAATGCAAAGCCGCTCCATGTGCCCCAAATCAACTCGAGATGAGGCCCGATTCCCCTGCATTGTCTCCAGAGCCATTCCTCGTTCCCCATTCAACACGAACGGTGGCTCAACTTCCTTCAGGCAACTCCAGAGATGCCCCGAAAACACTGTCCCAAGTCTAGAGGAACACCAACTTCAGCACAGCAACTCGAGGATTGCTCCGTGTACCCCAAATCGTCTCGAGATGAGACCTGATTCCCTGGCTTAGGCTCAAGACGTATGCCAACTTTCCAGAAGCACCTCAGGAGGAGGCTTCTCTCAGCAATAAGTATGTTGGAGGGACCTCGAGATCGCTGCCTCAAGGGGAATATACAGCGAGAAGCCCTAACTTGAAAGGAGACCGGATTTCCGTGCAGTGGCTTGAATACAGGCTGGTCTTTGATCTCAAAACATGAAAGGATGTCTGAATCCCCTGTGGAGTCCTTAGAGAAAGGCCTAGGTCCCTGACTCATTTTGACGGAATGCCTCACATCCCGTTGACACCTCGAGAGGCACGCGGAGTTCATTGCTTCAAAAGGTGACGATGCCTGACTCCTCTTGAATACTGATAGGAATCCCAAAATCCCTGTGGCTACTGGAAAGGGTCCTTGGGTGTCCTGCCTCACCTCGAGAAGCGTCCCTTTTGCCCTGCCTAGGCTGGAAGAGATTCCTGAGGTGTCCCTCGTTACTAGACAGGAGTCCTGACGTCACTGAAAAAACACGTGTTTTGAAGGGCCATCCCCGCCGTAAGTCGAGAACATACCCCAGGTCCCCGCCGCAACTCGAGAAAAACCATGAGACTTCCCCCTAGAGGCGAGATGAGGCCCCATTCCGCTGCAGTGCATGCAGAGCTATTCCGTGATCCCACTCATACAAGTCAGGAGCTTCGACTTGCTTAATGGATCTCGATTCAGTTCCCAAGAACACTGTCACGAGTCTAGACGGACCCTGAGGTCAACCCAGCAACTCAAAGCATCTCCATGTGCCCCAAATCAACTCGAGATGAGACCCGATTCCCCAGCACTGACTCCAGAGCCATTCCCCGTTCCCCATTCAACACGACCTGCGGCTCGACTTCCTTCAGGCAACTCCAGAGATGCCCCGAGAACACTGTCCCAAGTCTAGAGGAACACCAACTTCACCACAGCAACTCGAGGAATGCTCCGTGTACCCCAAATCGTCTGGAGATGAGAGCTGATTCCCTGGCTTAGGCTCAAGACGTATGCCAACGTTCCACAAGCACCTCATTAGGAGGCTTCTCTCAGCAGTAGGTATGTGGGAAGGACCCCGAGATCGCTGCCTCAAGGTGAATATACAGCGAGAAGCCCTAACTTGAAAGGAGGCCGGATTTCCTTGCAGTGGCTTGAATACAGGCTCGTCTTTGATCTCAAAACATGAAGGGATGTCTGAATCCCCTGTGGAGAACATAGAGAAAGACCTAGGTCCCTGCCTCATTTTGACGGAATGCCTCATATCCCGTTGGTACCTCGAGAGGCACGCGGAGTTCATTGCTTCAAAAGGTGACGATGCCTGACTCCTCTTGAATACTGATAGGAATCCCAAAATCCCTGTGGCTACTGGAAAGGGTCCTTGGGTGCCCTGCCTCACCTCGAGAAGCGTCCCTTTTGCCCTGCCAAACCTCGAAGAGATTCCTGAGGTGTCCCTCGTTACTAGAAAGGAGTCCTGACGTCACTGAATAAACTCGTGTTTTGAAGGGCCATCCCCGCCGTAAGTCGAGAACATACCCCAGGTCCCCGCCGCAACTCGAGAAAAACCATGAGACTTCCCCCTAGAGGCGAGAAGAGGCCTCATTCCCCTGCAGTGCATGCAGAGCTATTCCGTGATCCCATTCAAACAAGTCAGGAGCTTCGATTTGCTTAATGGATCTCGAGACAGTCCCCAAGAACACTGTCACCAGTCTAGACGGACCCTGAGGTCACCCCAGCAACGCAAAGCAGCTCCATGTGCCCCAAATCAACTCGAGATGAGGCCCGATTCCCCTGCATTGACTCCAGAGCCATTCCCCGTTCCCCATTCAACATGACCGGTGGCTCGACTTCCTTCAGGCAACTCCAGAGATGCCCCGAGAACACTGTCCCAAGTCTAGAGGAACACCAACTTCAACACAGCAACTCGAGGAATGCTCCGTGTACCCGAAATCGTCTCGAGATGAGAGCTGATTCCCTGGCTTAGGCTCAAGATGTATGCCAACATTCCAGAAGCACCTCAAGAGGATTCTTCTCTCAGCAATAGTTATGTGGGAAGGACCCCGAGTTTGCTGCCTCAAGCGGAATATACAGCAAGAAGACCTAACTTGAAAGAAGGTCGGATTTCCTTGCAGTGGCTTGAATACAGAGTCGTCTTTGATCTCACAACATGAAGGGATGTCTGAATCCCCTGTGGAGACCTCAGAGAAAGCCCTAGGTCCCTGCCTCATTTTGACGGAATGCCTCACATCCCGTTGACACCTTGAGAGTCACGTGGAGTTCATTGCTTCAAAAGGCGAGGAGGCCTGACTCCTCTTGAATACTGATAGGATTCCAAAAATCCCTGTGGCTACTGGAAAGGGTTCTTGCATGCCCTGCCTCACCTCGAGAAGTGTCCCTTTTGCCCTGCCAAGCCTCGAAGAGATTCCTGAGATGTCCCTCGTTACTAGACAGGAGTCCTGACGTCACTGAAGAAACTCGTGTTTGAAGGGCCATCCCCGCCGTAAGTCGAGGACATACCCCAGGTCCCCGCCGCAACTCGAGAAAAACCGTGAGACTTCCCCCTAGAGGCGAGATGAGGCCCCATTCCCCTGCAGTGCATGCAGAGCTATTCCGTGATCCCATTCAAACAAGTCAGGAGCTTCGACTTGCTTAATGGATCTCGAGACAGTCCCCAAGAACACTGTCACCAGTCTAGACGGACCCTGAGGTCACCCCAGCAAGGCAAAGCAGCTCCATGTGCCCCAAATCAACTCGAGATGAGGCCCGATTCCCCTGCATTCACTCCAGAGCCATTCCCCATTCCCATTCAACATGACCGGTGGCTCGACTTCCTTCAGGCAACTCCAGAGATGCCCCGAGAACACTGTCCCAAGTCTAGAGGAACACCAACTTCAGCACAGCAACTCGAGGAATGCTCCGTATACCCCAAATCGTCTCGAGATGAGAGCTGATTCCCTGGTTTTGGCTCAAGACATATGCCAACGTTCCAGAAGCACCTCAGGAGGAGGCTTCTCTCAGCAATAGGTTTGTGGGAGGGACCCCGAGATCGCTGCCCAAGTGGAATATACAGCGAGAAGCCCTCACTTGAAAGGAGGCCGTATTTCCTTGCAGTGGCTTGAATACAGGCTCGTCTTTCATCTCACAACATGAAGGGATGTCTGAATCCCCTGTGGAGACCATAGAGAAAGCCCTAGGTCCCTGCCTCATTTTGACGGAATGCCTCACATCCCGCTGACACCTCGAGAGGCACTCGGAGTTCATTGCTTCAAAAGGTGACGATGCCTGACTCCTCTTGAATACTGATAGGAATCCCAAAATCCCTGTGGCTACTGGAAAGGGTCCTTGGGTGTCCTGCCTCACCTCGAGAATCGTCCCTTTTGCCCTGCCAAGCCTCGAAGAGATTCCTGAGGTGTCCCTCGTTACTAGACAGGAGTCCTGACGTCACTGAATAAAGACGTGTTTTGAAGGGCCATCCCCGCTGTAAGTCGAGAACATACCCCAGGTCCCCGCCACAACTCGAGAAAAACCATGAGACTTCCCCCTAGAGGCGAGAAGAGGCCTCATTCCCCTGCAGTGCACGCAGAGCTATTCCGTGATCCCATTCAAACAAGTCAGGAGCTTCGACTTGCTTAATGGATCTCGAGACAGTCCCCAAGAACACTGTCACGAGTCTAGACGGACCCTGAGGTCACCTCAGCAACGCAAAGCAGCTCCATGTGCCCCAAATCAACTCGAGATGAGGCCCGATTCCCCTGCATTGACTCCAGAGCCATTCCCCGTTCCCCATTCAACATGATCGGTGGCTCGACTTCCTTCAGGCAACTCCAGAGATGCCCCGAGAACACTGTCCCAAGTCTAGAGGAACACCAACTTCAGCACAGAAACTCGAGGAATGCTCCGTGTACCCCAAATCGTCTCGAGATGAGAGCTGATTCCCTGGCTTAGGCTCAAGATGTATGCCAACTTTCCAGAAGCACCTCAAGAGGATTCTTCTCTCAGCAATAGTTATGTGGGAAGGACCCCGAGTTTGCTGCCTCAAGCGGAATATACAGCAAGAAGACCTAACTTGAAAGAAGGCCGGATTTCCTTGCAGTGGCTTGAATACAGGCTCGTCTTTGATCTGACAACATGAAGGGATGTCTGAATCCCCTGTGGAGACCTTAGAGAAAGCCCTAGGTCCCTGCCTCATTTTGACGGAATTCCTGACATCCCGTTGACACCTCGAGAGGCACGCGGAGTTCATTGCTTCAAAAGTTGAGGATGCCTGACTCCTCTTGAATACTGATAGGAATCCCAAAATCCCTGTGGCTACTGGAAAGGGTCCTTGGGTGCCCTGTCTCACCTCGAGAAGCGTCCCTTTTGCTCTGCCAAGCCTCGAAGAGATTCCTGAGGTGTCCCTCATTACTAGACAGTAGTCCTGACGTCACTGAATAAACACGTATTTTGCAGGGCTATGCCCGCCTTAACTCGAGAACATACCCCAGGTCCCTGTCGCAACTCAAGAAAAACCAGAGACTTCCCCCTAGATGCGAGATAAGGCCCCATTCCCCTGCAGTGCATGCAGAGCTATTCCGTGATCCCATTCAAACAAGTCAGGAGCTTCGACTTGCCTAATGGATCTTGAGAGAGTCCCCAAGAAAACTGTCACCAGTCTAGACGGACCCTGAGCTCACCCCAGCAACGCAAAGCAGCTCCATGTGCCCCAAATCAACTCGAGATGAGGCCTGATTCCCCTGCATTGACTCCAGAGCCATTCCCCGTTCCCCATTCAACACGACCGGTGGCTCGACTTTCTTCTGGCAACTCCAGAGATGCCCCGAGAACACTGTCCCAAGTCTAGAGGAACACCAACTTCAGAACAGCAACTCAAGGAATGCTCCGATTACCCCAAATTGTCTCGAGATGAGAGCTGATTCCCTGGCTTAGGCTCAAGTCGTATGCCAACGTTCGAGAATCACCTCAGGAGGAGGCTTCTCTCAGCAATAGGTATGTGGGAGGGACCCCGAGATCGCTGCCTCAAGGGGAATATACAGCGAGAAGCTCTAACTTGAAAGGAGGCCAGATTTCCTTGCAGTGGCTTGAATACAGGCTCGTCTTTGATCTCAAAACATGAAGGGATGTCTGAATCCACTGTGGAGACCTTAGAGAAAGCCCTAGGTCCCTGCCTCATTTTGACGGAATGCCTCACATCCCGTTGAAACCTCGAGAGGCAGGCGGAGTTCATTTCTTCAAAAGGTGACGATGCCTGACTCCTCTTGAATACTGATAGGAAACCCAAAATCACTGTGGCTACTGGAAAGGGTCCTTGGGTGCCCTGCCTCACCTCGAGAAGCGTCCCTTTTGCCCTGCCAAGCCTCGAAGAGATTCCTGAGGTGTCCCTCGTTACTAGACAGGAGTCCTGACATCACTGAATAAACACGTGTTTTGAAGGGCCATTCCCGCTGTATGTCGAGAACATAACCCAGGTCCCTGCCGCAACTCGAGAAAAACCATGAGACTTCTCCGTAGAGGCGAGATGAGGCCCCATTCCCCTGCAGTGCATGCAGAGCTATTCTGTAATCCCATTCAAACAAGTGAGGAGCTTCGACTTGCTTAATGGATCTCGAGACAGTCCCCAAGAACACTGTCACCAGTCTAGACAGACCCTAAGATCATCCCAGCAACGCAAAGCAGCTCCATGTGCCCCAAATCAACTCGAGATGAGGCCCGATTCCCCTGCATTGACTCCAGAGCCATTCCCCGTTCCCCATTCAACACGAACGGTGTCTCGACTTCCTTTAGGCAACTCCAGAGATGCCCCGAGAACACTCTCCAAAGTCTAGACGAACAGCAACTTCAGCACAGCAACTCGAGGAATGCTCCGTTTACCCCAAGTCGTCTCGAGATGAGAGCTGATTCCCTGGCTTAGGCTCAAGACGTATGCCAACTTTCCATAAGCACCTCAGGAGGAGGCTTCTCTCAGCAATAGGTATGTGGGAGGGACCGCCAGATCGCTGCCTCAAGTGGAATATACAGCGAGAAGCCTTAAATTGAAAGGAGGCCGGATTTCCTTGGAGTGGCTTGAATACAGGCTTGTCTTTGATCACACAACATGAAAGGATGTCTGAATCCCCTCTGGAGACCTTAGAGAAAGCCCTAGGAGAAGCAACTCAAGAAGAGGCTTCTCTCAGCTATAGGTATGTGGGAGGGACCCCGAGTTTGCTGCCGCAAGAGGAATATACAGCGAGAAGCCCTGACTTGAAATGAGGCCGGATTTCTTTGCAGTGGCTTGAATAGAGGCTCGATTTTCATCTCACAACAGGAAGGGATGTCTGAATCCCCTGTGGAGAACTTAGAGAAAGCCCTAGGTCCCTGCCTCATTTTGACGGAAAGCTTCACATCCCGTTGACACCTCAAGAGGCACGCGGAGTTCATTGCTTCAAAAGGTGACGATGCCTGACTCCTCTTGAATACTGATAGGAATCCGAAAATACCTGTGGCTACTGGAAAGGGTCCTTGGGTGCCCTGCCTCACCTCGAGTAGCGTCCATTTTGCCCTGCCAAGCGTCGAAGAGATTCCTGAGGGGTCCCTCGTTACTAGACAGGAGTCCTGACGTCACTGAATAAACACGTGTTTTGAAGGGCCATCCCCGCCGTAATTTGACAACATAACACAGGTCCCCGCGCCAACTCGAGAAAAATCATGAGACTTCCCCCTAGAGGCGAGATGAGGCCCCATTCCCCTGCAGTGCATGGAGAGCTATTCCGTGATCCCCATCAAACAAGTCAGGAGCTTCAACTTGCTTAATGGATCTCGAGACAGTCCCCAAGAACACTGTCACAAGTCTAGGCGGACCCTGAGGTCACCCCAGCAATGCAGAGCAGCTCCATGTGCCCCAAATCAACTCGAGATGAGGCCCGATTCCCCTGCATTCACTCCAAAGCCATCCCCCGTTCGCCATTCAACACCAGCAGTGGCTGGACTTCCTTCATGCAACTCCAGAGATGCCCCGAGAACACTGTCCCAAGTCTAGAGGAACACCAACTGCAGCACAGAAACTCGAGGAATGCTCCGTGTACCCCAAATCGTCTCGAGATGAGAGCTGATTCCCTGGCTTAGGCTCAAGACGTTTGCCAACTTTACAGAAGCACCTCAAGAGGAGGCTTCTCTCAGCAATAGGTATGTGGGAGGGACCCCGAGTTTGCTGCCTCAAGGGGAATATACAGCGAGAAGCCCTAACTTGAAAGGAGGCCTGGTTTCCTTGCAGTGGCTTGAATACAGGCTCGTCTTTCATCTCACAACAGGAAGGGATGTCTGAATCCCCTGTGGAGACCTTAGAGAAAGCCCTTGGTCCCTGCCTCATTTTGACGGAATGCCTCACATCCCGTTGACACCTCGAGAGGCACGCGGAGTTCACTGCTTCAAAAGGTGAGGATGCCTGACTCCTCTTGAATACTGATAGGAATCCCAAAATCCCTGTGGCTACTGGAAAGGGTCCTTGGGTGCACTGCCTCACGTCGAGAAGCGTCCCTTTTGCCCTGCCAAGCCTCAAAGAGATTCCGGAGGTGTCCCTCGTTACTAGCAAGAGTCCTGACGTCACTGAAAAAACACGTGGTTGGAAGGGCCATCGCCGCCGTAACTCGAGAACATACCCCAGGTCCCTGAGGCAACTCGAGAAAAACCATGAGACTTCCCCCTAGAGGCGACATGAGGCCCCATTCCCCTGCAGTGCATGCAGAGCTATTCCGTGATCCACATCCAACAAGTCAGGAGCTTCGACTTGCTTAATGGACCTCGAGACATGCCCCAAGAACACTGTCACAAGTCTAGACGGACCCTGAGGTCACCCCAGCAACGCAAAGCAGCTCCATGTGCCCCAAATAAACTCGAGATGAGGCCCGATTCCACTGCAGTGACTCCAGAGCCATCCCCTTTCCCCATTCAACAACACGAGTGGTTTGACTTCCTTCAGGCAACTCCAGAGATGCCCCGAGAACACTGTCCCAAGTCTAGAGGAACACCAACTTCAGCACAGAAACGCGAGGAATGCTCCGTGTACCCCAAATCGTCTTGAGATGAGAGCTGATTCCCTGGCTTAGGCTCAAGACGTATGCCAACTTTCCAGAGGCACCTCAAATGGAGGCATCTCTCAGCAATAGGTATGTGGGAGGGACCCCGAGTTTGCTGCCTCAAGTGGAATATACAGCGAGAAGCCCTAACTTGAAATGAGGCCGGATTTCCTTGCAGTGGCTTGAATAGAGGCTCGACTTTCATCTCACAACAGGAAGGGATGTCTGAATCCCCTGTGGAGATCTTAGAGAAAGCCCTAGCTCCCTGCCTCATTTTGACGGAATGCCTCACATTCCGTTGACACTTCGAGAGGCACGCGGAGTTCATTGCTTCAAAAGGTGACGATGTCTGACTTCTGTTGAATACTGATAGGAAACCGAAAATCCCTGAGGCTACTGGAAAGGTTCCTTGGGTGCCCTGCCTCACCTCGAGAAGCGTACCTTTTGCCCTGCCAAGCCTCGAAGAGATTCCTGAGGTGTCCCTCGTTAGTAGACAGGAGTCTTAAGGTCACTGAATAAACACGTGTTTTGAAGGGCCATCCCCGCCGTAATTCGAGAACATACCACAGGTCCCCGCGGCAACTCGAGAAAAACCATGAGACTTCCCCCTAGAGGCGAGATGAGGCCCCATTCCCCTGCAGTGCAGGCAGAGCTATTCCGTGATCCCCATCAAACAAGTCAGGAGCTTCGACTTGCTTAATGGACCTCGAGACAGTCCCCACGAACACTTTCACAAGTCTAGGCGGACCCTGAGTTCACCCCAGCAACGCAGAGCAGCTCCATGTGCCCCAAATCAACTCGAGATGAGGCCCGATTCCCCTGCATTCACGCCAGAGCCATCCCCCGTTCGCCATTCAACACCCCCAGTGGCTGGACTTCCTTCATGCAACTCCAGAGATGCCCCGAGAACACTGTCCCAAGTCTAGAGGAACACCAACTTCAGCACAGCAACTCGAGGAATGCTCCGTGTACCCCAAATCGTCTCGAGATGAGAGATGATTCCCTGGCTTAGGCTCAAGACGTACGCCAACTTTCCAGAGGCACCTCAAGAGGAGACTTCTCTCAGCAATAGGTATGGGGGAGGGACCCCGAGTTTGCTGCCTCAAGTGGAATATACAGCGAGAAGCCCTAACTTGAAAGGAGGCCTGGTTTCCTTGCAGTGGCTTTAATACAGGCTCGTCTTTCAACTCACAACAGAAAGGGATGTCTGAATCCCCTGTGGAGACCTTAGAGAAAGCCCTAGGTCCCTGCCTCATTTTGCCGGAATTCCTGACATCCCGTTGACACGTCGAGAGGCACGCGGAGTTCACTGCTTCAAAAGGTGACGATGCCTGACTCCTCTTGAATACTGACAGGAATCACAAAATCCCTGTGGCTACTGGAAAGGGTCCTTGGGTGCCCTGCCTCACCTCGAGAAGCGTCCCTTTTGCCCTGCAAAGCCTCGAAGAGATTCCTGAGGTGTCCCTCGTTACTAGACAGGAATCCTGACGTCACTGAATAAACACGTGGTTTGAAGGGCCATCGCCACCGTAACTCGAGAACATACCCCAGGTCCCCGCCGCAATTCGAGAAAAACCATGAGACTTCCCCCTTGAGGCGACATGAGGCCCATTCCCCTGCAGTGCATGCAGAGCTATTCCGTGATCCCCATCAAACAAGTCAGGAGCTTCGACTTGCTTAATGGATCTCGAGACAGTCCCCAAGAACACTGTGACAAGTCTAGGCAGTCCCTGAGGACACCCCAGCAACGCAGAGCAGCTCCATGTGCCCCAAATCAACTCGAGATGAGGCCCGATTCCTCTGAATTGAATCCAGAGCCATCCCCCTTTCCCCATTCAACACCTCCAGTGGCTTGACTTCCTTCAGGCAACACCAGAGATGCCCCGAGAACACTGTCCCAAGTCTAGAGGAACACCACCTGCAGCACAGAAACTCGAAGAGTGCTCTGTGTACCCCAAATCGTCTCGAGATGAGAGCTGATTCCCTGGCTTATGGTCAAGACGTATGCCAACTTTACAGAAGCACATCAAGAGGAGGCTTCTCTCAGCAATAGGTATGTGGGAGGGACCCCGAGTTTGCTGCCGCAAGTGGAATATACAGCGAGAAGCCCTGACTTGAAAGGAGGCCTGGTTTCCTTGTAGTGGCTTTGATACAGGCTCGTCTTTCATCTCACAACAGGAAGGGATGTCTGAATCCCCTGTGGAGAATTTAGAGAGAGCCCTAGGTCCCTGCCTCATTTTGACGGAATTCCTCACATCCCGTTGACACCTCGAGAGGCACGCGGAGTTCACTTCTTCAAAAGGTGACGATTCCTGACTCCTCTTGAATACTGATAGGAATCCCAAAATCCCTGTGGCTCCTGGAAAGGGTCCTTGGGTGCCCTGCCTCACCTCGAGAAGCGTCTCTTTTGCCCTGCAAAGCCTCGAAGAGATCCCTGAGGTGTCCCTCGTTACTAGCAAGAGTCCTGACATCACTGAATAAACACGTGTTTTGAAGGGCCATCACCGCCGTAACTCGAGAACCTACCCCAGGTCCCCGCCGCAATTCGAGAAAAAACATGAGACTTACCCCAGAGGAGACATGAGGCCCATACCCCTGCAGTGCATGCAGAGCTATTCCGTGATCCCCATCAAAAAAGTCAGGAGCTTCGTCTTGCTTAATGGATCTCGAGACAGTCCCCAACAACACTGTCACAAGTCTAGGCGGAACCTGAGGTCACCCCAGCAACGCAGAGCAGCTCCATGTGCCCCAAATCAACACGAGATGAAGCCCGATTCCCCTGCATTGAATCCAGAGCCATCCCCCGTTCGCCATTCAACACGACCAGTGGCTGGACTTCTTTCAGGCAACTCCAGAGATGCCCCGAGAACACTGTCCGAAGTCTAGAGGAACACCACCTGCAGCACAGAAACTCGAGGAATGCTCCGTGTACCCCAAATCGTCTCGAGATGAGAGCTGATTCCCTGGCTTACGCTCAAGACGTATGCCAACTTTACAGAAGCAGCTCAAGAGGAGGCTTCTCTCAGCAATAGATATGTGGGAGGGAACCCGATTTTGCTGCCTCAAGTGGAATATACAGCGAGAAGCCCTAACTTGAAAGGAGGCCTGGTTTCCTTGTAGTGGCTTTGATACAGGCTCGTCTTTCATCTCACAACAGGAAGGGATGTCTGAATCCCCTGTAGAGACCTTAGAGAAAGCCCTAGGTTCCTGCCTCATCTTGATGGAATGCCTCACATCCCGTTGACACCTTGAGAGGCACGCCGAGTTCACTGCTTCAAAAGGTGACGATGCCTGACTCCTCTTGAATACTGAGAGGAATCCCAAAATCCCTGTGGCTACTGGAAAGGGTCCTTGGGTGCCCTGCCTCACCTCGAGAAGCGTCCCTTTTGCCCTGCCAAGCCTCGAAGAGATTCCGGAGGTGTCCCTCGTTAGTAGCAAGAGTCCTGACGTCACTGAATAAACACGTGGTTTGAAGGGCCATCCCCGCCGTAACTCGAGAACATACCCCAGGTCCCCGCCGCAACTCGAGAAAAACCATGAGACTTCCCACTAGAGGCGACATGAGGCCCCATTCCCCGGCAGTGCATGCAGAGCTATTCTGGGATTCCCATCCAACAAGTCAGGAGCTTCGACTTGCTTAATGGACCTCGAGACAGGCCCCAAGAACACTGTCACAAGTCTAGACGGACCCTGAGGTCACGCCAGCAACGCAGAGCAGCTCCATGTGCCCCAAGTAAACTCGAGATGAGGCCCGATTCCACTGCAGTGACTCCAGAGACATCCCCCGTTCCCCATTCAACACCACCAGTGGCTTGACTTCCTTCAGGCAACTCCAGAGATGCCCCAAGAACACTGTCCCAAGTCAAGAGGAACGCCAACTTCAGCACAGAAACTCGAGGAATGCTCCGTGTACCCCAAATCATCTCGAGATGAGAGCTGATTCCCTAGCTTAGGCTCAAGACCTATAACAACTTTCCAGAAGCACCTCAAGAGGAGGCTTCTCTCAGCAATAGGTATGTGGGAGGGACCCCGAGTTT